ATTGCTCGGACTGGGATTCGAACCCAGAATCTTCCGAAGACATGTCGGCTACTCTACTATTTGAGCTATCCGGTCTATACTAAATTTCCTTTCACTTAAGCCACACCGTCCATCTTACGGTTAGCATTTTTTAACAAATATAAATAATGCTGTGAATCGGGAAAGAATAGGAGTTACGGATAATTATTACGTGAAGCGTTCCAACATAATGCTACTCTAACCCGTTCTATTTAAAATTATTTTTAAATCTCAAGAATTATGTCTTTTTGTTAAGAGCATTAAAAGATTAGAAAAGTCAGAAGACGGCCACTCCAATTTTTTTATCATTATCAATTTTTACCATAGGGTCAATTTAATTTATTCAATTTCAAACAAATCTATTATTAATTTATAGAAGTGAAAAAATTTTATTAACACTTTATTAATACTTAACATTATTTTCAGGCTCGAAGCGTTCAAAAATACATTTATATTATGCATACATATGTTAAGCTCTACGATTTTGAAAATCTAAGTATCTTCTGAATAAATTTTCTTTCTTGAATTTTTCTAATTTATATTTTCTAAACTGATCAACAGACTTAAACGGAGTTTTCAGCACTCGATACAATTTTTCAAATACAAAGAGCAAGTAGGTCACAATCCCAGCTGGTCGAAAAATTTAATGGTATTTCGAAAAAGTACTATAATCTGTGATATATTATTAGTTTAAATTCAAGCGTATTCGCATTCATAAATACTAACTTCAACTAAATTATTTGTTCATGAGATAACATTTATTACAGCAATGGCGATAAATTGTAATGGAAACAAACAAATTTTTAAATTATGTGGAAAGATGATTATATTCTATTTTAATGTACATGCTCAATTTATTAGAAATAGTTATTGTACTTTTCTTTAGAAATAATTATAAAAATATTTATTTCCAATTATTGTGCTTTTAATTAGTTCATTTTATTTAATAAAGTTTTACTATCGAATATTACAAAATTATATTAATTCTATAGTTTGTCTTTTTCAGGACAATAAAAGGTCGATAAAACGTTGTGCAAAGATTATAAATAAATATAAATATTTAAAATTATCTCATAAGCCACGAGAATTTATTTAAATAAATTTACAATGGATATGACAATTAATACAAAGATAATATTTTCAAAAATTTTATAAATTGCGTAGGTCATAAGCAAAATTTGAGTTATAGTGAAAAATTTCGATGGATTTTCGAGATTATTATATAATATAAAATTTAATTCTGTATAGTAATCTAATGAGTTGGAAAAACTGGCTACATTGACAATCAATCATTTGATAATTTTACGAAATTGAAAGTAAGTCAATTATTCATGATACTTTGCCAAGATTTTCTGTATTGAAAGTTATAAGAAATTTATCGTTGCCACCACAAAACAAGTCACTATCATATCAAAATTTACTTTACTATGATTTTTATTGTAAAGTTCGATGTGTATTATGAATTTGATTTAATATCTTTGTATGACAAACAAATGTGAATTTTTTTAATGACGTTTTTTAACGTAGAACATAGTAAAGTAAATTTTATGGCCATAAAATAATTTTATAGATAGAAGACATTATGACAATTAAAAAAATGTTTGTCAATAAAACCCTCTTATAATTCATTACTTAATATGAAAATCAAAATTAAATGAAGTAAAAAATAAATAATAGTTTAAAAAATATTGTTAATCACTCTATTTTTATTTTAAACTCATTGAAAATTATTTTCTCCTTTTTGGTTGGGTTTTTTTTTATAAAAACGTACTTTTTTGTTTTTTCAATTATTATATATTTTTTACTTTTAAGTTCGATTCGCCATTGAAACGTGTTTTTTTCTTTTTTTTGAACTACAGTTTATTAAGTTTGTAACTACCTCCCGGTGATGGGAGTGGGTAATTTGCGCGCCTGCTGCGTTTCTCAGACTATCTCTCTCTGATAAATTCAAATGTGAGACACTACCATGTTTACGGATAAAATAAAGGAGTACTTGATGAAAGGCACTACCGTGTCTTCGGATATAATAAAAATCTCTAATTCCGAAGACCCTGGCCAGTATAATTGGACGAACTTATTGAATTATCACACATTGTCATCAGTCTTTTATAAGTTTGCAACGTTTTAATTTGATCCGACGTTTTGAAGTGGTCAAAAATTGGGCTCAAAGATTCCATACATACATAGATGCAGACGAAGCTAATAAAAGCGTGTTAAAAAAATTTTATTTCACAAAAAAATTCTTTAATGGTTCATTTTATTTCTTAGCATTTATTCATGTTTACTTTATTAAAGAAAGTAGTCAAAGAATACTCCGATCTCCTTGAAATAAAAAAACACAGACTAATATAATTATAACTTCCACAATTATTTTTTATTCTTTAATTTGTACAGCAAAAAATTGGTCACGTAAAAAAAAACTATTTTATAGTTCACCAGAGGAGAATAAAATAGAGCTATATTCACGTATAATAAAGTACAACGTTGTAAAGACTTGAGAGGATGGTAAAGAGGTAAAGGTGAAAAGCATTTACACCCTGACTAAACCCAATTATTCTTTAGCTTTGGATCCGTGAGGGTCAGAGTGAAAATATTTCTTGGGTTATTCCCATTTGTTCTTTCATTCATTCATTCACGGATACAGTTATGGAGAGTATATAGAGAACAAGCAGAGTTGTATAAATGTATTAGAAAACTTCTGAACAATGAAAAAATACGTACAATCAACACTTACAAAGAGAACAAAGTAAAAAAGATATTCCATGCAAACGATATATCAATGTACCCTCAGATATATCTAAAATATTACACGCACAATTTTATCAGAATTGATAGTTACCTTCTACAATAAAAAAAACTACCCTGAAGAATCTCAATATTTTTGAACCCTTTACAAACACGAATAAATTGTCAATATGTTTCCTTTTATGAGTTTTGATTAAGTTATGGAATATTACTGTAAAGTAGCTTAATTATCCGCAAAAGGGTACATACAAACATGTATAAAATAAAAACGTAAACCCAATGAAAACTCAATTTTTGAAAATCATACTGAGAACAAAAACTTAAAATTCACTATTTTTAGTGAAAAGTTGAAAATATTTTTGAAATCAATCAGAAAAAATTTAAAGAATAGTTGATCCTAGAAACCATCTCTAAAACAACACACCGGTTTCCTACTTTTTTACCGTCTCTAATCTAAAAGTTATGGTTTCTAAGCATTAAGCTCTTCGAGTCTTTCTTAAAAAATCGAAATTTATTTTCAAAAAATTTATCTTGACCAGTTTTTTTTCGGCTTTTGTGTATTGATCAACAATCAATTTAGTCGAGTTTTGAACTCTGAAATTAGATAGAACTCTGCTGCACAGTTGACTTGGTTGTCTTTGACTAAAACTATTATATCTTAGAAGTGCGAACTCAACAAGAACCTCAAAACGTAGCACAACACCTTAGCCAACATTAATAGTTTGTGAGAGCGACCAGCAATGTATTATCAAGTATCTTACTACAATAACACTTAACAAACTGAACTAATTTCTTTTTGACTGTTTTCAGGTAGTCTTAAATTTAAGTTGAATTTCGAAAAATACTACAGCATCCATCTTGTGTTTAATAGATTTAGGATCATACCTCGACCTATTAAGAGCTATGAAAAAACGAAGAATCTTCAAAACAATAGTTTAAAGATTCTTGAGATGATATGGACACTGTTATGCATTAATGTATCAAGTCCTATGGAAATCCTATATATACTTAACACACTATTGCATAACAGAGTCCATATGAACAAATTATGATTTCCACAAATTTACTAATTTAGATTCTTCGGTGCGCTGAAAAATCAAGTTATTAAAAATAACATACGTTTGTCGATAACTCAATTTTTCATAACCAAAAATCGAAAGAGCCGCAATTGAAAATTGTCACAAAAGATTTGACCTCTCGTTGGTTGCGAAGTGAGGAAATCCCCATAAAACACTATTCAACTTATAAAGATTTATTATAGTGCAAGTGAGATAAAAATAAAGACGTGACCACTAAAGGGTCAATAATGAATGATGATTTTAAGGTCAGGAAATCAGCTTCGATTGATAATTAAAAATAAAATTGAAAATTATACTCTTGGGGTTTTATCTGTAAATAATTTTTGAATTTAGTATCACATCTAAGTTTTACAAATTAATGATTTTAAAAATAAACTTTAAATAATTACAACCTTAATTTTAGTTTTAAATAAATGTTAGTGCACCATTATTAAGAAAGAAATGTAATACTTCATACTGAAATTATGTAACTATTTTCTAAACAATGAGTTTTATATAAAATCCATTGGTTTATTTAGAAGTAATAGCTATTCAAAATTTATAAAATGCTGATATAAATTTCAGATTCGCTGAATTAATTATGATACTTCTAAATTAAAAAACTGATTTATTTACCTATTTGTGTGCTTACTTTTTGAAAAAAAATCAACTACCTCTCATCTGACTACGAGAAAATACCTTTTTTCTTTTATTTGCTGCAGTTTTATTTCGTATAAAATTTTAATAGATTTATCTACTTTATATTGACATAGTAAATGGAATGAGTCAATACAGAAAAAAGTCTCTGAAATATTTATTGATCAGAAAGTAGAAGAGTTAAATGATACTTTTAAAAAGATAAATTAAATTGGTATAGGTATTCACAGTGGTTATTTAAACAACTTTAGAATTAGTATTGACATTTATAATTTAAAAATTAAAAATTAATATAATGTAATGTTCGATTTATTGAAATATTAATTACCTATAATCGTGCAATGAATTAATACACTAACTACTTTAATTTTATATAAAGCCAGTCACATTGAAGCAATAATTCAATACTGTATTGTTAAAACACGATGAAAAAAGTTTAGTCTAATTTATCTAATACAATTGAATAAGAAGTGCAGCGGATGGTTAGTTTGCATCTAAATCAGCTCTGTATCGTAATTTAAATGGTAATTCAATAAAGTTTCAATAGGCTACTTTGTTATCAACTTAAAAGTAATTATATCTCATTTTATCTATTCAATTTACGTTATTTATGTATATTTGGATAAAAACTATTGTGTCTTACTTTTTAAAGGTTATTTGCAAAAATACATCAAATAAATTTGTAAAAAAATCTATAGATGAGTCAATATTTTCTATTAATTCAATGAGATTAAAAATATGCAAGAAAAATAGTATCAGTTTTTTTATAAATATTTATTGCAAACTTTTTGACAAAATGTTGTAGTAAAAAATATCTAGATAAACATTTTACGACGGGCCACGTTCTTCTTCACTTTCTGAAAATGGCTCTTGATCTAACGGCAAAGGTGGTGCCGATTCCTCAAGGATAATATCTTCAGACGGTGTTATTCCTTGGAGAAACCTTGCTTTTTCTTCAATCTCCGGAATTTTTTCATGAATCAGCTTTTCTACGTCCACCTTATCAAGTTCATCTTGAAGCCGTCTCCTGATAGGTCCCTCAATGGCATCCATAATTTGATATCTTATGACCAGATAAAAAAAAAATAATAAAAATAAAAATAAAAATAAAGTAAAGCATAAAAATGATAAATAATGATATAAAACCAGGATTTAAGTTTTCATACAAAGACAAATTTTTAAATAAAAACTTACCGTAATAAATTGGGTAATATATTTATTCCTGCTTCTATAATGTAATCCACCGTACCTGCACCGTGTATTCTCGTTTGAATATTACCAAGCTCAAGATTAAGCTCCTCTAGAGATGCGCGTTTCCGGGTATCCACAGGCTGACTTAATTTTACTTGTACTCGGAAATACTGAACCGTGAACGAGACTGTTCCGGCCCTGGAGAGAAAACCCCCGATCACACCCACTTCCCAGTGTGTTTTACCTTCAATCTCTTGTGTTCCCACATCCAGTAATGCATAAACCTTTAGTTTTAATTTTAGTTATTTAATTATTAAACTTAATAATAACCCATATAATATTTATTAACGGTAATTTTTTCCATATAAAACTCCACTGTTTTTCTTGAAACCATGAGAAATTGAATAATTGAATTTTTTGACTTTGATCTTCCTCGCGGTGGATTTACGGATCTTTTGAAAATGAAAAAAATGAATATTTACACTTTCCATTGAAATTTTCCAAACGTCAATTTTTAAAGTATGATAAATGATACTATTTTAATTATTAAAATCTATAAAAAGGTGAACAAAGTAAAAAAAAATACACTGATAGAAAAACAATCTTGATTCAAGAAACTTTTTTTCTTCAAAACTTGAACTCTTGAAACTAGATATAGATATATTTTTTTCAAGAATTTTTGTCTCTTGGTTCAAGATAGGCGATAACATTGATTCAAGATGTTTACCGACTTGTGTTAAGAATGGCTTTTTTTTTTGAGTCATTAATTAATTTACTTCTTTCTAAGGAATAATTTTTTTTTGGTATAACAATTAAAGACTATTTAGTTTTTGAATTGTACTTTGATAAATTATTTTAAGTTTTTTAAACGATAATGTTATTTTGATTGAAAAACTTAAATGTATCGATTGAAGATAATATAGCTCTTAAGCCGAGAAAATCTAAATCAAGACAAGAAATTCTTAGAGCAAGATAATCATTTGTCTTCCAAAATAAATTCTTAGATCAAGAAAATATCTCTTGAGTCAACATAAATTTTCTATCAGTGTATCATAATATAATATTTATATATATTTTATAAAAATTTGTAAATTTTTACTTTTGATCAACGATTTAAAAGTGGTGCAGTGATTTTTCAATATTCTTAAATTTTTTTCGTACTGTGCATAAAAAGCAGAACAAATTCAAAACACACCTCGAAACAATTACCTTTAATAAATATCATTATTCCTATTATATTAAACTAAAATGAGTATACCGTTCCATTTTCCATACTAAGGGTAATGTTACCCATACGATAAAAACTAGCAAGTCCAGTAATCCAAGTATAGCTTGAGGTGACAGTAAATATTCCAACACTCTGAGAATAATCCTTGAGTCTATAGGGGTCATATCCCATATCCGAAACTTGTTTGCGTGCCTCAGCAACTGCCATGTCAAAAGGCGAAATCGAATTTGGAAAATACTGCGGCAATTGAGATATTTGTTTGTTTACTTCACCTCTAAAATTAAATAAAAATTCATCATCACTTGATAACTTTGATTAAATTATATTTAATATTTAATAGATTATAAATTAATTAATATAACGCTAGACTGCGACGGAAAAGTTATTAGTTTCTCAATTATCTAGGAACTTAATAGGCTCTTTGGGCCGATGCACTTTCTCAAGTTGGGTGTCACCCTGAGCTAACCCTTCAATAGCTAAGTTCAAATAACTTTAAACTTGTTTATTCAAGCATCTGAAACTAACTATAAACTTTGTCAATTATTTAGTGGATCTTACCTTATATTTGTATTTACTTCGTTAAGAATAAACGGTTTAATGCTATCAAAAATGAAAGCTCCAACAGAATTTAATACACTTTGAAGTACTGCTCCTAGAAAGCCAAGATTCTTAAAATCCATATCAATATTTACGAATGTTAAATCCATATCAATATCTTGGGCATGTAGTTTTCCGTCTGTTCCAACTTGAAGCTTTGCCAGCCCTTGAATATTCACCCCGGTTAATTTAACAGTGAAATCTCCAGATGATCCTGACAGCCACGATGAAAGTGTATAAAGACCTCGAATATCAAGAGTTTCAATACTCAAGGCTACTGATACCTGATTTATAGAGAAGAAAAAAGATTTTTAGGTAATTCTTTGGAAGTAAGGGTTACTCTATTTTAGGCCATAAAAATTGAAAAAAATAGATACTTTTCATTTAAGATAAATATTATCAAAAATATTCAATTAGTTTTGGAGCTTTTAATGTTAAAAAAAACATGGATTCTTACTGAAAATCTTTAATCAATGTATCCAAATAAAAGTTAGCGATTTCTAGTATGCTTTCTCGTATTTTACACGTGAAAACAAACAATTAAAAATAAACTAATTTCGTAAATTTTTGCATAAGTCATAAAAGTTCGAAAAGTTTGCATTTAAAAAATTTTTCAAATTTTTATGACTTATAAACATTTTTTTTCTGTACTGAGAAATTTTTGATTCCAACATCAAACATCTAAATAATATTGTGTTGTATAATAAGATCCTTGTAACAGCGATCTACGACATATATTTGAAAACGGTATTATTAGCATTTATTGACAATATAAGATATGAAATAAAAGAGAAGTATGTATTATATATTTTTACTCAAACATTTTGTTTTGTACGATTTCATTTCTTGTTGTCAAACTTTATCGTGCTATTCAACACGATTGTATTCATGCAATCATAACAAATAAAATTTTTTATGAATACGAATATCAATATTCTTACTCTAGAATAATCTCATTGCTACTAGGCTGCTCCGTAATCAACTCTTGACATTAATATTTGCTGAAACTTCTGTTGATAGTATAATTGACTGTTCATTATTTCAGAAAATATATATATACTGACTGTGAATTTTAGCAACATTTATTGATTGATTCATTCAGTTTATTGGCAATTCATTTATTTTAGTACGAAATATCAAATATGCATATAAATATTGGAAATATAATTCAAACATGTATGGCTTTTTTGTTAATTAAATAAAATTATCAACTGACTAATTAATGAAAAAAAAATCCCCTTTTCATAATTGACAAATGAACAAACTTATGTACCTAAAGGTTATATTAAAAAAAACCTATCAAATGATAAATTTTCATAATATATATTGAATAAAAAAAAGTTGTTATAAAGTACACCAGTTATGAAATAAATTTATGTTGTTCCATTTTTTCTTATATCGAATTTAAAAATAAATATAACCAAATTATTCTTATTCGAAGGTAAGTAAGATCGCAAATATGTCTTCCAACGTTCTATAAAATCAATATTTTCTTAAGGATCCTATTATATATCTTGCTCTACTTGCCTTTATATCCAAAATATAAATTCACATTATCCGTATATTATGTAGATATGTACATTTTACGTATAAAAATATAAAAGAGTAAGAACAAATATCAATTTAAATATTTATAGATATTAATATTTTACAATACTGCCTATCAAAAATTTTGACCTTAAATTATTTTAAAGAAGTTTAAAAAAAATATTAAATTGTTTAATAAAAGTTTTTTCTATGATATAAAAAGATAGTTTTTTTTAATTAAAATACTTAAAAAGTTGAGCAAACTTTATGTATTATTATGAGTTTTACAATTCTCTATATTTTTAGTATTATTTTAATGCAAAAATTTTACCACTTTTTTTGTTAGTTATGAAAATTTTTCAGTTGGATTAAAAAAATCTTAAGAATAGCTCAAGATGAAAAAATTTTTCAAATTATTCGTGAAAAATTAATTTTTTTTTGTTCCTCTTTCTTATCGTTATATCATTTTCTGGATTAAAATTTATATCGTTTTTGTAAATGACAAATTGGTATTTTGATTTCCAGAGATTGCTCGATATTTTTTTTTACTTTGAAAGTATTATCCGTTACATGTTTTTAAATAATAACATTTTTAAGTTTCTCTTTGAGTTCAATGCAATAACTTATAATAATATCGAAATAATCAAAATAAACCTGGATAAAATATTTGTCAATTAATATATTATAGTTAGGTAGACCATAGCTAGTTGATCAATTTATTACGTTTTAAAGGATTTAAAATAAATAGTTATTTAATAATTTGATTAAATCTTCAAATATATTTCGGCTGTCCAATTTCAAAACACAGTAACTAACATTTAGAAATTTTTTTAAATTTTTCTTATTAAAAAAAAGTTTGCCTGCCAAATTGATGAAAAATTTGATTTATCAATAGAAAATACTTGAATATAAATATTTTTAAGAAAAAATACTCGAAATTAAGGTCTAAAAATTATAAAAAATGCAGCAATATTAAAAAAAAATTAGGTATAAAAATTTTGCAGTTGTTGTGTTTTAAAATTGGGCAGCCGATTTGAGTTGTTAAAAAAAATTAAATAATTTAAGTCGAGTTTATGTTCATTTTTCTGAATAAAGGTATTGCTGTCATTTGAAAATTTTTTATTTTATGATTAGTACCGGAATTTGTCTTCGCATTTGTTATAAAAAAAAAAGAAATATATTTGCAACAGACTATTATAAAAATGAAAATGTCGACTTAAAATTGTAAAAATGTATATAATATTTTTTCTGCCCTCCGGCCGGAAAGTGGCAACTTTCTGGCCGCTGCGCTAAACAAAGTTGCCACATTCCGGCTACGTCGAGCAGAAAAATAGTATACACACCTTGGCCAGTAAAAAGTAAAGCCTCAGATCACATGTTTGTCAACCTCGGCTTCGCCTCGGCCAACAATTACATGTGATCTGAGACTTTTCTTATTTTACTGGCCTAGGTATGCAATATACTATTGACAGATTAGAAAATAATAGAATAACGAAAAAAAAGATTAATGATAAAGAAAAAAATAACTGATCGATATTTTCATAGTTTCATTGTAGATTTCTTTTCTTCCTTGTATGCAAAAAAATAAATAAATTGAATTTTCTAATATTGAGTGGGGCTTACCTGCATCAATGCTATTTCTGACTGTACGTGTTCAATCCTAAATTTCGAGAGACCATACACTTTGACGGATTTGAAAGTCATAGTGTACATCGAAAACGAATGTTTCATATCTGGAACCGTCATTGGATCAGGTATAGGGGCGCCCGGAAGTCCGATAGGATCCGGCTGCTGATAATGCTTGAGAATTAATCGAATCTGGTCGCCTAATTGCTTTTCTCCCTGAGCCAATTTTGTCTTTGTGTCATTTCCTACAATAAAATTTCAATTACGTCTACCGATATTATATTTTATTCTTTTTTTTTTTTTAACAATAGAAAGGAGAACAATACAATAAATCAATTTCATTTTAATTACAATTACTCGTTGATAATTATTGGAAATTCTGTAAGAACAGTATTTTATTGAGATAAAAAAGTTTTCGCTAACTAACTTATGCTATAAAAAAAAAAAAGTATATAAATTAAATTTCGTACCGTTAGTGTTACAGCTACAGAGAAAAATCCCACCGATAAAAATGAATAATTGAATAAATTCCATTTCACTAAGTTCCAAAGAGTGAACACGTCTCTACAGCAACCGGAACTGATTTATTTTAACGTACGTTTGAATGACCATGCCGTCAACTGATACTTTAGTAATGGATATACGTTATATTGGACAGAGATGCGTCAGTAAATTAAACGAGATACTATCATTAGGTCATTGAGAGCGAGGGTCATTCGCTTATCTTTTTTCTTTCATTTTTTCCCATTTACTCTTCTGGGAGATGTTTTGCTTACCTTAGACACTGTGATTCGACTGTCAACAAATATTTTAAAATCTTTTCTATATTTGTCACTCAAGTTATTTTACTAAGAATAATCATAATATTTTTTTATCTTTTCAATTTTTTAGTTATTATAAAATGATATTGATAATGCAAAATTTAAATAAAGTGGAACAATAGGTCACCTACTTATCCAACGTAGATATTAAGCATTGTCGAAAAATTTTTGTCACTTTTTGTGTAACATATAATACAGAATAAAACATATATGAAAGCATAAAACTTTTTTTTGTAAAGTTTATCTCTATTGCTTCAGATTTATCATTTTTATTTTGTGAAATAAAACATATTTACTAAACTTTCAATTTATTCAAAGAGTATTAAAGAGATGGAATAAACAATTATATTTTTATAAATTTTTTTATTTTTTATTTAAATTACAACATATCGGCGAGAATATTAAATATTTTCAACAATAATGGAAGGTTTTAATAGTTATGGGCACTGATACATTCCATTGTAAAGCTATAAACTTTCATAACTATCTTACATTTCTACCATTATAACTGTTGTCCTCAAATATTAAGACGGAGAGTTCAGCTTTGAAATACACATTATTTATAAAAAATTTTCAGTATTTTGAAAAAATATCTAATTCGTCTATATAACTATAATAATACGAACTTTTTTTTTTTTTAATCGTAAATAACTAAATAATAAATATTTTTAACAGAAAGCTGATTAGATTAGATATTTTTTTATCACATCATGCAAAAACAATTTTTTCAAACTCTAAATGTATTTAAAGTTATTTCTGTTCAATTAAGAAACGTCATTCATATAAAAAAAGTAAGTTATTTTCTTAAACACAATGTGGTATAGTAATATCTGTTTTAAGTGAGCGTTATAAATTCTACGTTACGTATAGTATTTATTAAGTTCAAATAATTTGAGACGGTCTGTCCAAAAGTAAATTTTTTATAGTTTAAATGATATTTTTTCGTTTTCGTCATCATCATCATTCTCATTTTGATCTTCTTCCTCACCCTTATCTTCATCTTCAGCGTCATCCTTATCTTCGTCGCCATCTTCATATTCTTCACTACTAACGTCAATGCTATTATTATCGTCATCGTCATCAATATCAACATCTTTGATGTCCTCCTCTTCATTATCTTCATTAAGATCATCCTTATTATTTTCTTCGTCTACATTTTTGTCTTTATCGCGATTTGTGTTTTTAATTCCTTTGTTATTCAAGCTTTCTCTTAATTTATAAATTTGAATCTTATCATCATTTGAATTAATTTCTTTGTCGTCGTTACAAACGGAATAGTTGTCAGGTACAATTTCAATAACTTTTTCTTTATGGTCGAAAATATCTTCATTGACACCCTCAGAGTTCTGTTAAAAAAAAAAAAAAATATATCTATATTTATACATATGCCTGTGCAATTACAAATATTTTTCAAACTTTTTAAACTCTTCTACCATAGTTTGAAATTAATACATAATGAAATATCCATTATCAATATAATTTTATTTGGTATGAAATATAATGAACTACTCACAGAATTTCATTATAAAAATAATTAAAGCTTCTATGAAATAATATACACATTAAAGATATTTTTTTTAGTAAAATCTAATATGTAACGATAAATAAAATTCTCACAAGTTTTAATTATGGAATAAATATGTAATCTAACACTAAGAAAGCAAATAACAGACTGTTAATTTTTTTTTTTTTTTTTTTTAACACACCTAGACCTTTTGTATAATTAATGATTTGGAGCAGACGAGTAACAACTGGTGGTTAATAAAAACATTCAAGATGGTTAGCAAGGTCGTTAGGTGAGAAAATTAGATAAATAAAAAATTCACCGAGAAAAAATAGGCTCCGTAGATTCATTTGAGACTGATGGTAATTCTAATACTTTCTTACAGGTGGAATTTGGTCGAGACTGATGAGAGACAGCGTCATTTTTCCTGATAAGACAACTGGAACTTCGTTGTTTTCCTCAAAATTTTCAGCTTGAGTTTTTGAATCCGTAACTAGGAGTTCGCATTGCGATGGAAGCGCACCTTCAAGATAAATTGGCTTCGGTGGTGATTTCTCACGCTCAAAATGACTGAATCACAAAAATATTAAATATATATTAATAGTGTACAAATAGCCTGCAGCCGGTACGTGAATACATAAATATAACTCTATTTATTCAATGTCATTTATCATTTTGTTAATTTTAAATTAACTTACACAACGAATCATTTTTTTATGAAAAAATAACATCATACGAAAATAATAAGCCCTTGATTCGTTTTTTAACAATAAAATTAGATAAAAACATTTTTTTTTATTTATTCAAATTACTGATAACTTAAAAAAAAAAAATGAAGCTGTAAGTGATATTTCATTAAAAATTTTTTAACTACACTGATAAAAGGATTTGTTTAAAGTTAAAAATATTTGTTAATATTTAACAAATTATTTATTAGAAGCCATTTTTTAATGCTTAACAAATATTTCTTAGCATTTAAAAAGATTTATTAATATTTAATAAATGAATATCAGATTTATTAAATACAAACAAATCATTTTAAATACTAAGAAATATTTGTTTAATACTAAAAAGTGGTCTCTAATAAATAATTTGTTAACTATTAACAAATATTATTTAATGCAAATAAATACTTCTATCAGTATAGGAAAGAAAAAAAGCATTATTATGTCTAATAATTATTTACTTAGGCGAATGAGATATTATCGGTGTTGAGGGTCTACTGATTTTTTGCCCCCCTTCACAATTTGTGGTCATTTCCATCCCCATGACTTTCACTGTAGGTGATGATCGATCTAATTCTTCAATACTGCAACAATTGCTATCCGTACATTCTTCCTATAAACCAAAAAATTCATTTGTAATTTAACAAATGAGACAATACTTTTTCGATTCAATTTGTCTAATATCAATAAAAAAAAAAAAACAATAAAAATTAAATCATAAAGTTATCAATTACTTATAGTAATAATAATAATAATAATAATAACATTTAAAATAATGAAAAACATGCTATTATATTTTATCTGTTTATAAATTCAAAACAGATGTAATCATCTAAAACACAAGCAAATAAGTTCATCATTTAAATTTTAAAGTAAATATCTATTAATAATTAAATCTAAATTTAATTAAATGGATCAACCAGCTATTGAATAAAAAAGATTAATTTGATTACTGATTAAAATATATTATATAGTAAATACCACTCGCGTATCGTAGGACAAAGTGAAGCATAAACAAATACAGAAACGTGCGTATCTAGTTGTTCAAAATAACTAAAAATAAAAAGCAAATAATAACAATAACTTTTCGAAATGTGTCTGATAAACCTGTGTATCTTGCTGTGAAGTCGGATTCTGTGCAACTGTACGAGATAGGTTACCCATTTGTACAACAATTCTCTCCATAGCGGCTTCCGTGTCGGCCAATCGTTGAATTAATTGATCTACCTCTATGTCTCCTGCAGCTTCTAGTGCCCAGCATGTGCAACATTACCACACTGATTCAGAACATCAACTCTCGTGCAATTTTATTAATTAACTATCATGATTTTTAGCTATTATTTATTATTTATTTATTTACTATTTTGATATACGAGTACTGTTAAATGTTTATGATATTCTTATCATCGCGTTCCTATCTTTAATTTAAATTCAAGATTATTCTCATGTCGCAAAATACATATATGGTGATAGGTGAGACAAGAATGTGTTGTAAATTCATAAAAATATTAAGGTGACGTTTGAACATATATAAATATAAATATTTATTACTTACGTTGTTTCAGCTCATCAATAGTTGGAGTTCGTTTAATTAATTCTGGGGATTTTTCTTTACGATAATGCGGCACTCCAGTTATGGCACTTGTCAATATTTCTGGATTAAAAACTCGATCACGAAATTCTTTTTCAGCTTCGGGATTTGAATATTCACGATAAATGTCATTATTCGGATTTTTTCTTAATACCTGAAAAAATAAAAGACAAATTATTTTTTTTTTAATTTAGAAAGAAAATATAAAAAAAATTATACCTTGGTGATTGTATAGAGAAAAAATAAAAGAATTCCAACAGTATACAGTGGCATAATGATTCCCATACTGCTACCACTTCCGCCCTGAGGTGTGATTACACGGCCTGGACCACCCATTGGTGGTCTCATTTTATGTGAAAATACTTGTTCAGGTCTTCCTTCTACTCTTGGTACAATATGCGAAGAAGGTATTGCTCTACCACGTTCTCTCATTGCTGGATGCAAACCTCCCGCATGGGGAGGTAAACGACGCTCTTGTTTAATTGGAGCTAAAAAGAAAAAATTTACTTTGTTAATAAGCAGCACATGACATGATTCTTGATAACAAAAAAAAAAAACCCATTATTAATTTGAAATTATAAAATTATTAGGTAAAGATTAGTAAGTATATTTTATAAATAAAAATCATCAGTAATTTTAGGAAACTATTCTCTGTAAACTTGATTTTTTGGCAGTACACCAAAATTGAATGAACAACTTGAGCTAGCAATCCATATATATCTACTGACCTTTTCAAAGGTGGAATCCTTTGAATTTTATTTCATGTTAGTTTCCCTTCCATAAAGAATTAATAATTAGTAATGAGTAACAAATTATTATTAATTTCACTCAATATTAAAGAAGCTATTAATTAGCTATATTAGTCAAAAAGTAATAACAAATTTTTAAATATAAATTCTTACTGTGTGGCATTAAAATATGATATCTTATAAGATGCGGAGTTCCTAATCGTGATAAAGATACTCCAAAATTAATTTTAAGACATAATGAACTATTAAATGACCGAATTTCTTCAAGTACTTGTTTATATGTTTTTCCTAATTTTTCTTCTTCAGCCAAAAATGATGACAAGTCAATACCACAACGTGATAATACTTGTTCACGACAGAAATTAATACTTTGGGGAGATAATTTATTTATATTTACAATATCTCGTACTCGTGGATCAACTTGATGGTGATTCAATATATTTTTACACATTTCTTGTAAAATATCCACTGCGTTGACATCCGTTTCAAATATTAAATCACAGCATACTAAATGATAATTAATTTAAAGATATCAATACAATTTTTTCCGTTCATCAATGCTAATTCTCAGAATCATTTCTGAACTCACTTAAACTTTAAAAAGTATTTAATATTATAAGTAATTAATATAATAACTAAATAAGCTTACCAGATCCATCAATAGGTGAATGAGGAGTATTACCAGGTCCAATAAGCATCGGATAAAATATTTTTGGCCATAATATAGCAAAACAACCAGCAACAACTGTTAAAACAATTAATGTTTTACGTGGCCCGAAATCACTTTCACCAGACATTTTATTTTGTACTGTGTCGTTCGCTATTCGCTGATAATGTCGAGTTTTATCCATTATCATTTACTTGTTTTTGCCTATTTTTATTATTTATCTTTTATATTGTTCGATATATTTTCGAAGTTCGTAGCATCCAGGTTGATCCAGGGACACTACTCACCACTGATAGTAAACGACCAAAGAATATAGATGATCAGGCTTTTTGCTATTTTTGTCAATAGAGCAAGGTCGTCGCGCTCAAGTTTTGAGCCCCTGAACATCCGAGCAAACTTTTCATTTTTTTTTATTATAAAAAAATTTTTTTTTGTTATGTAATAAAAATAAAATATATTATAACTATCAGCATTATAAATAATTTTTTTACTTAAAAATATTTATTATTTATGACTCTGAAAATAGCAAACACCCGAAAATTTTTCTTTTCAAAAAAAAATTAAATATTGTAAAAAATAATTATATTAAAAAATACTCACAAAAACAGATCATTATCATATGTATTTATTTTTTTAATTTTCGTCTTAAATAAAACTAAATATTTAAAAAATAAAATAGAAGTTTTCAAATATTTGCTACTTTATGTATACATCCCTAAATACGTTAATAATGATTGATTATAATTAAAATAATATATCTATAACTATGAGTTAATTTTTATTAATAATATTAAAAGTTTAAGTATAATATTAATTTTTATACTTTATAAAATAGCTACTGAGAATTATTTAAGTATATATATATTCAAGTTGAAATAAAACAGTAAATATTTCTCAAGATAATTAATTTTATTTTATTAACAACTAACACTAAAGTGAATTCCTGAATAGATATTCGTACTTGAAATAAATTCAAAATTTACAGTAAATATTTTCATTTATTTACATTGATAAATCATTCAGGTCCCCCACGCTGAAATGAAACAGAAACTAATAAATAAGCGAAAAAAATTGAAAGAAAGTATAAATAAAATATGGTAAATATATTACATTGATGTATGCGATTTCCTTTTCATCAATAGGTCTTCGCTGATAACGTGGAGGAATTTGAAAATCTTCAATTATTGGTAAACTGATAACACCAGGTCCCGTTGCTGCTCCTTTTGCACTAGAAAGAGACGCCCCTGAGCCTGCAGATGGTGTTGTAGTCACGGACGGTGCTAAATAAAACTCATTTTATTATAAATATACTTTCACTACTCTTAAATATTTTTATTAATTTAATAAATATTATTTATGTATAAAAGATCACCTGTATTTCCTCCTTTACGAAATCTAATCATCGGTAAATGGGCTTGAACAACCTGTAAAGACAAATAACATTTTTAATCAGCTAAAATCACGTTAATTAAATAATGATTCATTTTATAAATAAGTATCCGAGTTGCTTTATATAATTTTCACAATAATATCATTAAAGAACATACCTTCCAACTCTTCGAAGCCATTATATTTATTAATATTTTTCACTACTTAATTATTAGTATTAAAAAAAAAATACAACGTGTTGTTAACTCTTGATATATAGAAAAAGTTATTATGGTCAAAATTTGTGTTGAACAAAAACAAGAGGGCGTCTAAGTACCCCTGTGAAAACACGCCGATTTACTTATCTTGAAATATTTACTAGCATTGTTATCAGAAACGAAATTAAAAAATAATAAACAAAATAATTCAAATGCAAGCCTTTAATTTTTTTCCAATTTACAGAAATAATTGTTTCTAAGATTTTTCAGTTGTTTACTTAAGCTAAACAGTGAAAAAGAAAAAAAAAAAAAAAAAAAAAAAAAAAAAAAAAAAAACTGGTTATGATATTTGATTTGATTTATAAATTTTTCAAAAATGTCAACTGAAATCACCGGGAAATCGAATAGTAATAAGAAATTAAAGGAATATCATGAATCTGAACGTGCAGAAAAAAATCGTCAACGAGCATTATTGTTGAAAAAATCAAAACTTTCTGCCCATCCTCATTCTCAAGAGTAAGTTGAAGATTTTTTTTCTATTCAAGATTTAATTTTATTTTTATTCTAATAACATAAACAATTTACTCAGAAATGAAGAAAAACATAAAGATGAAGCTGTCCAAGGTAGATCTATCAAGGTACAAGGACAAACAGTTATTGACACCGGAGGTGGTTTTTTAATTGAAGACGACGATGATTTGGAGCAGCAGATGGTATTGTTGTTTTTTATTTTATTTCATAAATTAGTGGTTTATATTTTAATATTTATATACTTTTCAGTTAAAAATAGAAGAGATACCCGCACCAATAATAGAAAATTTGCCACAATGTGAAGAATGTAAAAAAGATTTTAAGGATTCATACCTATTGCAGAAATTTGATTATGCTGTTTGCGATGCATGCAGGTACACTAAATCTATAATTTTTTTTTCTTTTTTTAAAATAAAAATAATCATTGTTTGTTTATGGTTTTAAATAAGGATATTTTTATTATTTGAAAATTATTTTAGAGATCCAGATGATAAGCATTCATTAATAACTAGAACAGAAGCAAAAGAAGAGTATTTATTAAAAGATTGTGATTTTGATAGAAGAGAACCAAATCTAAAGTATATTGTAAAGAAAAATCCACATAATCCACGTTGGGGTGAAATGAAATTGTATTTACATTTGCAAATTGAAAAACGGGCTCTAGAAGTATGGGGTACAGAAGAAGATTTATTAGAAGAACGTGAAAAACGTGATGTTAAGCGCCAGGAAGGAAAATTAAAAAAATATAATAAAAAAGTAATCATTTTTTTTATTTGTTATAATTAAATCAATATTTCATGCATTATCTATAAAGTAAATATTTATTATTTTTTTTAGCTCAAACAATTAAGAATGGAAGTAAGAAGCTCGATTTATGATAAAACCAAAAAATCATCTCACACCCATAAGTTTGGCGAAGATACGTACAATGAAGAAGATGATACATATACTCGTGCTTGTGTTGAGTGTAATTTTGAAGAAACTTTTGAAAAAATGTAATTATCCAATTTGTCCGAATTGTTATTTTATACTCAAAAAAATGATTACCTATAGTAGTTTTTTAAAATTAATTTATTGATTGAAATAGTCAAATGATACGTATATAACAAGTGTATCTAGTTTTAATAACAGTTTACATTAATTTATTCAATGCTAAAATATTTTGTGAGATTAAACGATTTATTTTATACTGTATTAAAATATTAAATTCAAACAAATAATTTGTTAAGCCTATCTAGATTATTTTTTACATTTTTTTATAATACCAAACAAAAAAAATAAAATGTAATTCACAACATCGTTTGATAAAGTTATAACTAATAGAAAAACAATTATTCGTACATAAGCATTAAACAAATAATGTTTTATTTTGTAATAAGTTATAAATAAATTTTTTTTCCATAAATGATAAATGCAACAAATGAAGTTGATATATTTCTTAAACTATTAAAAAATAAAATTTGCTTAATTTTAACGATCGTGGTAATTAATTACTTTTGCGTTGATTCCACATATTGTACTATATACACTTCTCACAAAAATTGAAGTAGCAAGAAAAAAATCCGAATTTTTGGATTCGTTTCTTTTTTAAGACCTCGATACGAGCATTTCTCACTGAGATATCGGTGTTTGAATGGAAAAGGATCATTTTGTCTTAAATTATGAATATCTCAGCAACCAATAATCACACAAAAAATGTTAGGTGGGTTTCGAAAATTTGAATAAATTCTCTACAAGGATCAGCTATTGATTTTTTGAAAAAAAAATTTTCCAAGTCCGTAGACTAAAAAGTAAAACTAAAAAAATTTCGGAAATTTTTTTTTTTTGGTTATTTTCTTGAGATTATTCGAAAAAAAATTTTGGAACTCGGATCCAAAAACTAGACACTTGGAGTTACAATTTGTTTTTTTTTTTTTTTTTTTTTTTTTTATTGCTGTTCAAGCATTTTTCTTCAAGTTAAAGTCTATTAGAAAACCCCCAAAAATATGAATTTTTTTCTTACTCCCTTAATTTTTGTGAGAAATATATGTATTACATTTATCTACTTGACATTAATTAATTTTAATTAAGTTTTAAGCAATAAAGTCTAAATTACACAATTGAATATCGTTTTCCATTCATCGCTTAACGTAATAAAAAAAAAAAAAGAAAAAACAATTAATAATTATCGCGGCAGTCATAAATTCTCATAAGTTTATAATTTAACACAGTATGAATAAAAAAAAAAAAAATAGCGAAATATATTTCATCTTATAATTAATACTATAATGATAATGAATACTAAGACTAACTGGCGTTATTCGTTCTTTTAAATTGTGGTGTTGACAATCGATTTGGTACTAGTAAAGATAATTTTTCATCTCCAGTTGATTTTACTGGATTACAAACAGCTGTAGATGAGCTGAAATATACAACAAATAAAATTAATAGATAACATTTTTAATTATTATATTAATTTTATTAAAAATATATTTATGGTAATAAATCTTACCGATTATGTCTAAGATGACTTTTGACTAGATGACCGGCAGTAAGAGCAGCCATGAGAGATAACTCACCGGCAAGAACAGTGGCACAAACAATTCGTGCTAATTTATTAGCGTTCGTACCAGGTTCTTCTTCATGAGCACCTTTAACACCCAACATCGCAAGACACGAACTTTGAGCTGGTAATCCTGTTCCACCCCCAATTGTACCTATTTCAATACTAGGCATTGTACAAGAAATATATAAATCATTTCCGTCTTCCCCCCAAGGCTCCATAAGTGTTATACAGTTACTGCTTCCAACATTTTGCGCTGGATCTTGTCCTGTCGCAATAAAAATTGCAGTAACAACGTTAGCAGCATGAGCATTAAATCCACCAATACTACCAGCAACAGCGGATCCAACTAAATTTTTATTAATATTCACATCTACTAATGAATGAACTGAAGTTTTTAAGACAGTTGTTACGATATCAGCAGGTACAATGGCTTCACACACAACGCTTTTACCTCTTCCTTCAATCCAATTGACAGCAGCTGGTTTTTTATCAGCACAAAAATTACCACTAAGTGACAATATTTCCATATCCATAAAATAATCTTTTATGTATTCTAATGCTTTTTCAGTTCCTTTTGATAGCATATTCATCCCCATTGCATCACCAGTTTTCCCAACAAATCGTATAAATAATTGTCTACCAGCAATGCGAACGTGAATTTTAGTTAATTTGGCAAATCTACTTGTTCCATCAAATGCCCGTTTAATTTCAGCATAATTATCAGAATTTTGAATCCATGCCATAGCTTCACTTGCACGTACAATATCTGGAAACCTAACTACTGGTCCTCGAGTCATTCCATCATCATAAACACGACTTCTTATACCGCATTTAGATATTGCTCTACATCCTCGATTTGTTGATGCAACGAGACAACCTTCGGTTGTTGCCATTGGTATATGGAATAACTCACCGTCAATTAATAATGGACCTGCGACTCCAACTGGTACAGGTATGTATCCAATAACATTTTCACAACAAGCTCCTAATACTTTAGAATAATCGTAATTAAAGTAAGGTAAATCTGACAATTCATCGTTATATTTAGCAGCAGCGGTAATTAACAAGCGACGAATACCAACACCACGTTCCATGTCATCAACTGCTTTCTCTAATTGATAAGGAAGAATATAATTATGTTGTACTAGTTGAATCACCTCTTTATCTGTCAATCCACTGGCTCCCAACTTAAAAAAAAAAAAAGAAAATCAATTATAAAATTAAACATAAACTAAAATTTACTATTGTAATAAAATTAATCTTACCTCCGAACGATATATTGCTAAGCAATCTTCAACACTCCTTGGTTCAGGTTCTTTTAAATAAGATGATAATTCATTATTCACTTGATCAGCATTGTTGTAAACTTTAACATCTGTTTGTACTTCTTTGTCCTCAAGTTCAATATGATTTTCATTACCAACTTCAATCCAATTGTCATTCATTTCAGTTAAAGGAAATACTGAAGTATGAATATTTGGTAAAGTGTTACCAAATCTTTGTCTTAAAGAAACATCGAGGGATGTAGCGTGCATTGTATCCATATTTTCATCCAACGATTGTGTTTCAGGCGATGTTTCTTCCTCTTCTTTGAATTGTAATTGTTTAGCAATGTCACCTTTGTCTTCAATAAAAATAAATTTAAGCGCCAAAGCTAGTAAAAGTATTAAAATGACAATATTATCTGCACTGATGGATAGCCAATTCATAAAGTGTTCTGTCAAGTCATCTGGTGTCTTCGATTTATTATGATTTGTTATAACCACATGTGAATTTATTGGTAGAGATGTGACTTCTACCGGATTATCATCATCGTGGTGTTTAAATGGCCAACGACTGAAAATTTTTAAATATAATTATTATTAAACAACAACTAAACTATTTTAGTAAAGTTTAAACTTATCGTACTAAATAAAAATATTTTAGTTTTAGAAAAGAACCATGTGAATTCTTGAGTGTTCATTCACAAACTGAATAATCAATTGCCTTGACATCTGCAGATGATAAGAATTTTGTCTACCATTCATAAAGAAAGAAATGTATTTGCAAATTTTTTCGTTATACTCTATGAATGTTTAATCTTTTGTCCACAAGTTATTATTGTCACATTTATGAAATATTTACCTTGACGCAATATATTTTTATTTTTTATTCAAATAGTTATCGATATTTAAAGTTATTTAGATTAATTACGTATATGTATTTGTATATATAAAATTATTATATTATTTTAAGATATCTTTGACGTAATGAATATAAATAAAATTTTTTAAAAATCTTTGCATTGAATGTAAAACATGAATGATATTTTATCTTAACATTACATATTTAGTGAACCTGATCTGCTGAATAAACTTACAAAGAACCATTTAACAATAAATATTACGGTAGAAAAAGGTCAGATTAGAGATAACATTAAAATCATAAAACTTTTCATAGAACTAAAAATTATATCCTTAGACGCTTTCCAAATTTTTAGAAGGATTTAAAAAACATCATTTATTGGCTTTAATTTGAAAGTTATCATTATATCATTAGTAACATATTATAATACTATTCATTGTGAAATTAAAAATAATTTTTTTTACCTTGAAGAACAAGGTCATTCATATGATTCTCTTCGCTATTAAGATAGATATATTGCTCAACAATTAATCAAATAATTATTATATTCACTATATATATATAATAAGCCCGCAATTTTATTCAATTTTTTTCTTTCGTTCAAGAAAAATAGAACGGATATTACGACATTTAAATTGAACAATTGCGTATTGCGTCCATCGATTAACATTAAAAAGTAACTTACCTATGAGCATGAACAACAAAGAGACCTGCGATCATTATCAACTTAACACGTTCTACCACTGGATTCGGCTTTTGATCTTCTTCATTTAATGAATGTAGCATTAATATTGTATCAGCACTTAGTGTTCCTACTCCGATATTAGTTCTTGACAGCTGAAAATTAAGGTTTGAGTATTTTTTTTATTATATGATCAAAAATTCAAGTTCAAAACTATAATTATTATTATTATAATAATAATGTTCATGAAAAAAAAAGTAAAATCTTACCTCAAGTATTAATGACAAACAAGCTGGGTAAAGTGTCATAAATACAATGTAATTGACAACAATACCAAGGCAAGCAAAGCTGCAAAGTATTTCAAGTCTTTTTACACCTGATAGTAATCCTATTCCTATAAGAAGAATTTCTACAAGCGTATCCAAAGTAATTGTAGGCCCTAAAAGTGACATCCCACGAGCAATATTCGTTCTCACTTCTTCTTGACTTCTTGAGCTTAACGCTAACTGCGCCAACACTCCAGCTTTATTCAAATCAATGAGCAATAGAAAGAAGAACAAAGCATCCCTGTAAAAATGTATTTATTATTAATCACTATCATAAATAATTGTTAACTTTTTGTTCATAAATAAATGGTACTTTAACCTACTTGAGATCAGAAGCGTCACTACGGCTAAAGTTAACAACACTGGTAGTAAATATAACGCTGGAGAAAACGATAAACAGGATCGCAATACCTAATAATTAGAATAATTCATTTTAAGTAAAAATTTTTAGTAAAAATTCATTTTTAGTTTAAAAGTAAGAGTATTTCAACATGGATTTATATCTATGTAAAATAGAATGAAATTTGAATGATATTAATCAATATGTATACGTATAATGTAAATATAAACTAATTACTGTCGAGTAGCATTGACATAGAATTTACCGACAATATGAATTCTTAACTAAAACATTCTAATAGCTATTAATATTTCAAGGTAACAATAATCATCTTCATTCTATATAACGAATAAAAAATAATTTGGTAATCGAGTATATCACAATCACGATTTGAGTATCAAATGAAACGCTATCGCTTTCCACAGAACTTTCACTGACGCTCAATGCTTTCACACGAGTACGATGCTTCGTCCAAGTGCAAGATCCGGTTTTATCAATGGTACTAACTCGATGAATACTATTTATATAATTTCATTATTATAATTACTTAATAAATAAATATATATATATTTTTTTTTTTACCTAAAATCCACTTAGATCCAAGCTTATAAAGATTGCGAAACTGATGGTAGCTAAATAAAATAGCTAAGCATCGTATTATTGTCATTACAATTACATCCACAGCATTGTGATCCTATAGAAACAAAGCAAAAGTGTATTTTATTAACTTGAAAAAAACTTTTTAATCAATTAATTACTTTATTTAATATATATACTTACATCAGAATTACACCGCCCATTCCAACAATTTGAGGCGCCAGGTAATCTTTCGTCTTTTGATACTGAATTTCCAGTATCCAAATTGAGCATACAAGCTGTTAGTGTCAGTGTTGTGACTATTATTTCTAGTGGATGGCTCACACAAAATCTGCCGTGAATTTCAAACAATTTGGCCAACATTTTTAACGCTGAATAATTACACTTAATATAAATCAAATAAATTCTGTAAGAAAAGAAAAAGAGAGAGTGGTTAAAATTTAAATTACAATAAAGCTTTCTATTTTTTTTATTCATCTAACAAACTCCGATTTTTCATTTTTACAGTAAGGTATTCAACCAATACATAATATATATTCAACACATTGTTATTAATTTGTCACTACACATTTACTGTTCGTAGTTTTTTTTTTTTTTTTTTTTTTTTTTTTTCTTCGTAAACTTAGAATTTACGTGCTATTGTCACTCGATAATTAATATTTTAATTTTAATTTCTCTTTTATATATTTTTACCGTCAGGTATCATAAAGTTTTTATCATAAAATTGAATTTATTTGTAAATTGAATTGGTTTTTGACCAACAATTTATTTTACTATTTAGATAGTCAAAATCTATTTATAGACCAAATAAAAATTTAACTGCCCATGATGATTTAGTATTTTATAAGTAAGAAGCAATATTCATAAAAAACTTTTAGATGTTTGAGCTATGTGATTGCACATAGACACTACACGTGTTAATAACTCATAAAAAAAACTAATGCTGCCAAGGTCGCCGACTTTCCGTATATTCCGATACTTAGCTGAACAATGACCTCTTTTTTTTTTTTCAATTACTCTATGTAAATTATTTCACATTAAGTACGCATTATAATTATAATTAAACTCAATCATTTTACTAACGATGCTTACAAACAAACAGTTTCTCCTAACTGAGATTAAATATAAAAACGTTAATAATTTTAATTTGATTGAATTAATATCTATGAATACTTAATGTAACTTTGTTAAAAATGGATAAAATTGATAGTAAATTTATTAAAAAATGGAAATAAAAAAAAATATGATTGTCACTAAACAAGCTGCCTGAATCAAGAAAGAGTTTCGACATTAAATCTCAAGTATTATATTCTCCACCTTTCTCTTGCGAGATAGACGAGAGAGTTAAATAATTTGCTCATCACTTTACAAAGTACTTAACAACATCTACATTAATATCATGTCTGTGTGATAATTTGGCATAAAATAAATAAAACCAAAGCGTAAGAAAATGAATTCTGGCGCGGAGTTTCAAGTTCCGGAAGAGACTCTTGCGAAAGCACCACCGAGAAAGCTTCATTATAATGACGTACTGATTTTTTTAATGTACTTCGTACGAGACTTACATTGACAAGTATTAGAATAAAATCTGATTAATATATTTAAATAATAAATTATCTGTTGTTTCAAGTCAAGAATAATAATTTCTGCATACATTTAGATTTATTTATTTGTACATTTTTAAAATTATTATAATTGTTGAACTTATATAGACTCGTGTATGATTTTCAAAAATAAATTCGTCATTTTTACATACCTCTTATATAAACTGACCAAAAATATCCTATTGATTAAGATGTCTTTATTAAAACACTGATTTGTAAATTTTTTATTGAAAAAGAAAAAACACACAAAATTCCTATTTTTGTTCAATTGTACATGTTTAATTGAAAATTAATTTTTTATTATTATTTAAAATATTTGATACTATATTTGTAAGTTTTTTAAATTTGGTAAATTTAAATGTACAATTGAGAGCTTAAAAAAAATTTAAAGGGACATGTTGATGTACTATTAAACTTAAAGACCAGTAAAGTAACAGTTATAGTTAAGGAATACTATTCAAATTCGCAGACAAGATACCACACGATCTTGTGATTAAATGCGTGCCATATGAACGAATGAACAGAAATCGACTGGCAACAAGAGCCACTTCTTCGTCACTAGTACTCCGAAACTCTCCCGCTCACTTAAATATTTACATTTAATATTGATGGAATTCAAAAAATTTTTTAATGTCAAAACCCATTAATCATTTATTTAAGCATATACCTATACTTATATGTTTAAATTAAAAAAGTTTCAAGACAATTCATTTGTCTTCACATATTGTTTTCAAATTTAACATCACTATTAACAAAATTTGAACATTAAAATTTATATTAATAAAATTTTAGATATTAATTTATAGATATTGATTGACAAATTTTTTTGAAGATAAAATATATAATTTAATAACTAAAGTTTTTAAATGATAATTTCTTAAAATTTAAATTTTCTGGGGAAATCCGTCTACGTATGAATTTAAATCGCAGTACTGCACGATACTATTGTTCGTGGGTTTTAAATATATCTTTTTCATCTTATTACTTATATATTAGAAAAATATTATTTAAGAGGAAAAAAAAATCAATCTTATGTATATTTTTTTTAGAATACGAAATCTTTATTGTGGAAGAGAAATCTCTCTTCGGGAAGGTCAAAATATTTTGTAAACTTTTCTGGTCTCGAAATAGCTCAGTTTTAAATCTCCAATTCTTCCAAGTAATTTTAATATATACAATACAAATTGAATAATTAAATAATGCTATAAATAAGTTATATTTTTTTAACTCGTGAAGCAACTTTTTATTTTTTGTACCCATCATGCAATTTTTATAAGATCTTCGAACTTAAAATTTAAACAAGAAACTAGTTTTTAGCTGGAGCTCATAAACAATTTTACCGAAAAAGTTCTTTATAAAAAAACTAGGAAAGTAAATACAAATTGGAGCTCGATACATGATTTAATAATCTAGCTATTATTTTAAAATTGTCATTTATTTTATTAAAAAGAAGTTTTTCAATAAAATTTTAATTTATTTTTCAAGTACAACAGGAATACTTCTATTTGTCTACTCAAGTACGAAAAAAAAAACCGTTTTTAATATAATGGAAATAAAGAATGTGATTGTCAACACAAATATGAGTGATATAAATCACAATGTGTGAATTTTATATTCGGCTGACGTATCTAGAAATGTACAGAAACGTGATTCTTTCATTGAAGCAGAATATCCGTTATACTTACGAATTTTAATTTATTAAATTTAAAATGATCAAAGATGAACTGTATAGTCAGAAACGATATCGTTTATTCAAAGGCGATTATATTAAACGAACAGAATTTATGATTTATAACGATACGGATATTAACAAACATTTATTAAGTTTTTACGATTTTTATTAACAAATCAATTATTCAAAATATGAAATAATAACAATAACTTACAGAAAATAAAAAAATTCCACTTGAAAAAATTAAACAAAACTGTAAATGCAACTTTTTTTTTTAAACTACTTTTTTTATAAAAGTTATAAATTTTTTAGAAATTATAAATTTCCAAGCTCATCAGCAATCATATCAATTTAATAACGCAGTCAACCGATAAATTTTTTCCACGTAATAAAAAAGTATATGCGTTTGAGATTAATCAAAAATTTTTTTCTATACATTCAAATCATACTATCAGTAAATTCTTTACAAAACAAGACATGTTTAAATTTATAAAAACATTTAATCTAAGTATGTTAGTTGATCGTAAGTAATTAAATTTATTTAAAATTATGACTTTAAAAGCAATAATTTGTTCTTAAACTGTACTAAACTAATCAAATTACGTGTTTATAAAAATCATCTCTCCAGAGATAATATTATCAAGTATTTTTATAAAGGTACAAAGAGAAAGTGAATGTTTCAAAAACTATATATGTATATACTAAAAAAGTAAACATCAAAAGTAATCATCAATAGATTGTTTAGTTATTTTTAAGCTTGAGAATTTTATATTTGTCACGACTTGATGATTCGTTAAAATAATATAAACAAAATACACGTTAATGATATGATAAATTGCAAAGTATCTCAGTTAATTTATACTTCCTTTTTGTAATTTACGTCGAGTATATGACCGTTTTAGTTTTGCTGACCGTGGCCCCTTTCTGTCAAAACTTTTAATGAATGATTTAAAGATTTGATGATCAGAATATAACAATTGTTTAATTAACTCATTGTTTTGTTTAGTTTTTTTTTTCAACGTCTTATAAACTTGATCTTGAAATTGATGCAAGTTTTGAAAGGTTAAATGTTTTTGAAAGAATTATTAAACGAAGTATTTTTTTTTAACAATTAAAACATAAGTAGATGTGGAAAAAAAATTGTGATACTAAAAATAACAGACATTAAAAAATTAAAAAAAAATTTTTAGCAAATGAATTATTTAATTCATAAGTAATGAAAAATTCACAAGTAGGAACTTAAAAAAATTATGATTATATTTTTTTAGTATTAAATTATTTCTCAAATTAAACTAAAAAATTGATGCCATTGATGACTAAAGTTGACAGACATTAAAAATTTTTTTAGAATTTTATAGCAATGAAATTATTATAAAAAAAACTCCAAAAGTAAAAATTAATAAAAATTGTTAGTAAAAATTTTTAGAAGCATTTTTTATTTATATTGTAATTGATTTGTTATAAAAATTTGTAAAATTGATGGCTTACAGCTAACTTAAGTATCATAAAAATTGTCAGATGTCTGTGAATTCCAAAACTAAAAAAAATTAATTTAAAAAATAATATCCTTTACAAAAAAAAAAAAAAAAAACTAAAAGTAAAGTAATTTCTTTTTTTGAACTAAAAAAAACAACAATTTCTGAGTTCTAAATCATTGTTTTTAAAAATTTTTTAGTTCTAACATTCTCATTGACTTACTTAATTAATAAATTTCAAATTTACCATGATTTAGCTTTCTGCATAGAATAATTTAACTCTAAATTACCAGATAGAAAATTTTTTTTAAATCAAGCGTATAGATATTTTCGTTTCAAATTGCATCACTCGTCGAAAAATTATCCTGACAAAAGTGGAAATGTATAAAATAAAACTTAATAATTTGTAAGTGCATATTTTCAATATTGTTATCTATTAATAAATAATTCGTAAAATTAACTTAAATAAATGGTCAAGGGTTAACTATTTTTAGAGAAATGTTTCGGAAATTTTTTATGAATTAATGATCCTTATTTTTAAATAAATAATCAGATAAAATGATTTGAACTTAAATGAAAATTGTTTTAATATTCATTGACGTAAACTATTATTATTTTATAAGTTCTAGGTCATTGAATCGAAAATGTATAAATTAAGACAGCTGATTGTTAAATACCTTAAATATTTATTGTTCTATAAATTACATAAAACTACTTACGTTTTATTAGTTTAATAATTTATATATTCCCTAGTGTATTATTGTTTAGTTTCACTTAATTTATAAAAAATAACTATAAAAATTTGACACATTAACTTTGAAACAGAAAATTATTTTTTTTCACGGTGGATTACATCAATTATTTGGAGTCTAGGTTAGACGTACACAAAGTCGATTTAGGCGCCATCGAACAAAAAATATGTGAATTATTTTTAAAAATAATCAATCCAGAGATAATTGATAAAAACATTTATTTCGTTCGCTCACACAGAATAAAAAAAATATATAAGAATTATAAAAAAGTAAAATAAAATTATGATTGACATCTAAAATTTCTATCCTGACATTTAATATCAAATTATATTTCTGATTATCACTCAATAATGATAGATTTAAATAAAATTAGCATTTAAAACAATTCTTAACAACAATAACGCATGAAATTATGAATTGAATATATATATATTAATTATTAGTAGTATTAGCTCTTTGTAATTCATTAGAATTAGAATGTCTTGCGTGATTCATCATCGATTCAACCTTATTGGCTGTTTCTCTTACAACATCAGATATTTCATCAGGTAGATAATCTAAGGTTGTAATATGAGCTGATAATCTTTTATACATAGAATCCCTTTGTCCGTCTTTTTTATGTCTTTTTTGTTCTTCAAATTTCAATTGTTGTTTTAAATGAATTGCATTTTTAAGATACTCAATAGTATTACTAAAATTTTTATCTGCCTTTTGCATAGTTTTAACAGCACTTACAGCGTATTCAACATCATAACATCTTCCTTGTAATTGACGTTGTAATGCAAGTACTTCAACACGTTTCTCAACCATGGGTGGTAAAGCTTTCCTTACATGCTCTTGTAAACGATAAAATGCTAAAGATGGTTCATTAGCAACTATATGCATGTTTTCAGATATACGTTCAGTAGCTGAAAAATATTTACAGGATTAAATTAATAAATATATTAAAACACAAACACTATTTGATAAAATCAATCATTACCTTTTTTAACGCGTTGCTCAAACTCAGGATCTGGCTGATACACTTTTGCAGTCATTTTTTTTATTATTGGAAAATTAATTAAGCCACTAATTTAAAGTATATTTCAGATTTTAAACAAGTTACGTTAATAACCTCAATATTGCCATCGATTTTGAGTATTTATTTCAGACCAATTGGCGTATATATATTTAAGAGTATATAAGATGAGTAAATCAGCTGATCAATTGACAGATGACATTTCAAGTTTTTTAACTCTAATGTAGGTTATGATTTATAATAAAAGTATTATATATAATAAATATATATTGAAAATTTAATTTTGATTTTATATAATTTAAGAGAATTTTTAATTTTATCTAGTATTTTCAATAAAAAAAAATTTTTTTTTTTTATTTATTGTACAATTATCATTAGTATATGTAATAAACTTTGTTGAATAACTTCATAATATCTGAATTTTTCATTAAATGTAAAATTTTTTTTATTGTTACATTGTTACATGACATTTAATTTTATCATTTTGTTTCAACTATTAAGTATTTATTGAACAGTGTAAATAAGTAAGGCATAACTAATAATAATAATAATAATAATAATTTGACGACTAGTGAGTAACTTATAGATTAATTCGAACTAATTTTTATCGGTAAAAACTATCGACGATGACTTAAGTTTGAGAAAAAAGTAGAATTTAAAAATATTTTGTTAACATTGAAAATTTTTTGTACGTATTAATCTATTTTAGCAATAATTTATAAAACGAGTGATCTCAAAAACAAAAATAATTTAGACACAGCAGACGGTTTGCAAAAAAGAAAATAATATAATGAAAAAAACACAAGAGTGATAGCATGAAAAAAAAAAAAAGCAAAAGAACGTTCAGAATATTAAATGAATTCATAAAAAAATGATTTTTCTTTGCATGAGAAATATTACCATTATTATTCCATAAATTATCTGTAATAATATTTTTTTTTTTTCATTTATAAATGTTTGGTAAAAGAAAATGAGTGTTTCAAGTGACACTGGAAAAGTAGAAGCAAAAATGATTACTTATGTTAATACACTATATATAACTTATATGTAGACAATTTTTGTAAGACACTGAAGTGATACAAATAAAAACCATTCAGTATGATCAACTGTTACTATCATAAATTATTAAATAAATAAAAATTGACATTTTCTATGATTTTAATAATTTAAATAATCGCGGTATTTTACACTGTCATCAGTACCCGGAAATGTAAATTACGCATGCGTGATGCATTTAGTCGGAAGTTACGTGTTTGGTGATGTTGAATACCGCCGAAAACGTGGCAACAAAACTGAGCGCTGTTGGCATTTTTTTAATAAAAAAAACTCCAGATCAGTCATTCACTCAACTAAGTACTAATATAATATATATTTTCAATACTCTAAGTTTATCGACGTCTAGCAGGTAAATAATGCTTAAAAAACTATATAAATAATTACAAATTTTAAATATAATACAATTTTTTAACACTAATATAATTTTCATTCATAAATAATTATTAATTTTCTCTACAATAATTTTTTTTTTTTTTAATAACCCGTAACAATTGTTAGTTTTAGTTATAAATATTAACATATGACAGTTACAAATTAATTCAGATCATTTTTGTATCAATTAAAAAACTTTTGTTTTGGCATTATAATTATGTTTTTTGTTTTTTCGAAAAAAGTATTTTTAGTGGCTCAATATTGTATCGCAAAACACCGCTATAATTTAACAAATCAAATAATGTAATAAAATACTTTTGTTTCAAATAATTCGATTGTTTATTATTTTATCTATTTCAGAATGAAGTTTCAAATTTTTTACACAGCCATTGCCACTTTATTGGTGACAATTTGTGCTGAAGAAGAGCAGCAGCAGCCAGAAGCTGCGCGGTTACTAGTGTCAAAATATATCCTCAATAAATATCTTGTAGAAAATATGGACATTATTGTTAAGGTATAAATTTATAATTTATCTTCTGTTTAATGAATAATTTGTGAATATACGTAATAATTTTAATTTATAGTACACAGTGTACAATGTCGGTAGTGTAGCCGCACTGGAAGTTGAAATAACAGATAACTCATTCCATCCCGATCACTTTAATCATGTTAGTGGTGAATTAAATGCTAGAATCGATCGTGTACCACCTGGCAGTAACGTGTCTCATACTGTCGTTGTCAAGCCAAGGAAATTTGGATATTTCAACTTCACTTCTGCAGAAGTTTTGTACAGACGTACTGAAGATGCCCCAAGGCTTCAAGTTGCAGTAAGCAGCACCCCTGGAGAAGGTCTCATTGTATCTTACAGAGATTACGCAAAGAAATTCTCATCCCATGTTGTGAGTTTACAAATTATAGTGATAACTTTCTAAATTTTTTAAAATTTGAATTTCATGAATGTTATTTATTTAATTTTTAGATTGATTGGATTGCATTTGCCGTTATGACATTACCTTCATTAGCAATTCCATTTGCTCTCTGGTATTCAAGCAAAAGAAAGTATGAAAAAATCTCAAAAAGTGCTAAGAAACACTAAAATCAATTCATTGTATAGAACTCATACAGTTAAAGATCAAGTTTGTAATTAAATCATTTTTTAACTGGCATGGTTGTGATATGCGTGAATGTTTTATTTTTTTTTTTTCTTTTTTTTTTAATAAAAATTTATTTATAATTAATTATTGAAAGTTTTTATCATTTTTTATTATACAACGTAAGAATGTACAACAATACATATATTCAAGGAATATAACTATTACACACACTCGACTTAAGTATGTAAGTTTAATTAAATCAGTCAATACAAATTTCATACTTGTCATTATTGTAGAATTTATTTATTTATAGAAAAGAAAAATTAAATACTATGAACACACGGTATAATATACATTATCGTAAGAAATGTTCTTGACAAAACAGTTATTAAAAAAAATATATCTATTTTTTTTCATTTATTTATTATTTTTAAATGTTCACTATTAATAGCTTGTTTTAATGAAAACATGAATAATTTTTTGTTTCATCAGAGTGTGTCACTTCGAATTAATGAAATAATATTCTATTTATCAATTTTTAGTATAAGTTACAATAAAAAGTTAATCGAAGTGAAACATACTGATGAAATTTCATATTATTTATATTTAAAATTGGAAGCCTTTGTTAAGCAATGTTATCACTTAATTTAATTTAAGTTAATTAAACTTAAGTTAATTTAAAAATATTAAAGTTTTAAATGAATTTTTATTAATCGAAAAAAAGAAACTTATATTAAAAGTAAATGGCAACTAAAGACATTTTTGATTTTAAATTAAATTATTAAACGCGTTTTTTTTTTGTTTATTTTTTATCTTCTTTTTAATAACAAAATCAAATTTTATCACAAATCCTCATGAGTATATCAATAAGTTATTTAAATTTTTAATAGTTAAGAACAATTAAAGGATATGTTTCGTCTAGTATTTGGTGTATAAAAACCACGCGGATCACCATACACCGGTTCAAAAGCTGAAAATGGTCTTAAAGGTGATTCTGGACTTCGTTGTGGACTAGAGGAATTTATTGAGTGATTTATAGTTGAGCTAACATTAACCTGATTTGGACATTTTTTCATAGGTGGTGGACTTTGGTCTGCAAAAACAGTTGTATTTCTTACAGACAAATCAACACTTGCGATTTTATTTTTCCACATCCAAATCATTGTTATGATTATTATGGCGAGTGTGATGATTGTATATTGATGATAACATAAACAGTCTATCCAATTGATACCAGACAATGTGTTATAATCATTCCTAGATGTTCTGATCATAAGTGTGATATTTTGTCGTGTAAGTTCATTAATTACAATTATTTTCTGTCCTTGAATATCATCTTTATCTGGCATTAATCGTAAATTAAATTGTAATGTCGACAATGTAGTTAATTCATGTGAATGAATCACAACACCTTCTGGTACTTGAAGCCGGGTATGTTCTAATACACTTTTAAGCCCATAAATTTGCAGTGTAGCGGTAGCTATGACTTGAGGATTTGTTTGTACAAAAGTAACATCACTTGATTTAATATATACAGGTGGTAAATAAATTATTTCCAAAGCATTACCTTCAACATCATGACTATGAGCATTAATTTGAATACGTGTGTCCAATGTACTAGACACCATTGTCGGTATTCCAATTGGAATAATGTCACAGTAGTAAAAGCCACTTACAATATCGAATCTTGGTTTAGCAATAAATATATCCTTAATATTAACTGATGATAGCTTTGATACAAATTGTACTGTACACGTAAAAGGGAAAGAATCTAGTGTAAATGATGTACGTGTACGACAGCCACGTAAGCCTCTTGCCAGAACATTATTCTCTTTAATACCTTCATCTTTACTTTTCAATACAAGTGGTACACTAAAGATTTCCATTCCTGTTATATTTTTACCTCTTAATGACACTAATGATATTTTGGAAATAGGTTCAACGTTGACTTCAATATCATCTTGTTTGTTATCAGTTAAACTATGTCTGACAAATGTTTGCCCTAGATTCCTAGCTTTTCCTATTCCAGTAACAGCATCTACGGATAAAATTTCAGGTTTTGATGATTGCCAAAATCCTGGATCACCAGTTTTAGTTGACAAAAGAGGCATTGAAAAGCATACAATATCACCAACGGTCAATAATGTTTTTGATGGAAATATAATATCACCAATCATCATATGGACATAATCAAATATGTTTGTTGTATGTTTATCACTGTATACTTTAGCCACCAATTCACCATTGTTGTGAAATTTAACATTTAGTTGGTTATTTGATTGTTCTGAAGTAAATGTAACTAGATCACCGCGATTAGAAATAGTATCAAATTTCAACTCAGCGGCATGAAATTTACTTCCAATATTATCGAAATATTCAATAATATAATTTAATTCCATTCCCTTGGGTAAAACATTTAATTCTTCACCAGCACGTATTCGAACATTAGAACTCAATGATAACATCATATAATGAACAGGTTTAACATCGATAATTATTGTCATTGTCTGTTTTCGGTTATAAGATTCAATATTTGTTATTGATAATATTGTTTTACCTATTGAATCGCCAGATTTAATCATACCATTTTTGTCAACAGTCACTGTTTTAGTTGCAGTTAATGCATTGGGTTCAGCAGATTCATTTAAATGTCCTGATACTACTATTTTATAAGTTGTAATTCCAGAATTATCTTTATTTGTTTGTAACTTTAAACTTGAATTTGGAGTCATGAGTATAACTGGCATACTATCTGTGATTTCTGGATTAATTAATCTCAACTCTTCGATAATTTCGATTTTAATAAATGTACTGAATGTCACATCTTCTTTAAAACTCGATAATATTTTAGATGGAATTGTAACATTCAAATAAACGGTTGTTGATCCTGATTTTAATGCTGTTGCTCGTAATGTCACTTCATTTTGGTATCTTATATTTATCCCTGTACCTTCGTACATGTTGTGTAAATTGATTAGATTGGAATCACTGGAATACCAAGTAAATACAAGTAGTGATTTCAAAGATCCAATTACTAATGGCGTTAATTGATCGGGTATTCCAAATGCCCAAAGTGGAATAGTTGCTCCTACTTTTATTCTTGAAGTTGGCGTTACAATTCTAATTCCTTCTAATGTAATAACGTGAATATTTACAAAATCTTGTGAATAAACAACTCTAGTACCTTTAGAATCTAGACCAACTGCCTCTGCAATCACTTTAGTAGAGCCAATCATTTTACCCTCAAAAATTCCTTCGTTATTTATAGTTACAATATCTTCGTTGTCTACAGTAAATTCAATTTGTGCATTTACAGGGCCACCAATTGTCATAATTTGATAAATTGTACCAATTAGTATTGTAATATTGTTGTTTGTGACTTTTAACGGCATAAATACTTGAATAATATTCGACTCGCTGCGTATTTCTTGATCACCGTAACCACTTATGAAATTAAGTCTTGATTCACCTTCTTGGATACCATGTATCATGTAAAGTATTTGTGAGTATGGCGATTGGCCTTGTTCATTAATGGGTAGTTTTACTAGTTCGATAAATTTGTTATCTACTTCTGGGTGCAGATCAAATGCTTCTAATGATGGTAATTCTATCAAATTGCCAATAGTATCGAATAATTTAACAGCAGCTAAAATACATTTGTCCTTTTCAACTTTATTTACACTTACTATTTCAATTTCAGCTAATTGTTGAACTTGAATTTCCGCAATCGCTGGTGCAGAATCTAAACAAAGGTCTTTCAAAGCTACTTGAAGGATACCAGCTTTTTTTGGAATAACGCTAATTGTTTTAGTTGGCTCAATGTAACGTACGTCTGCTATATCATCAACACTGAGTATAAATTCATAATAACCAGATCCTTGATTTACTTGTAATGAATATTTAATATTTGGATCATTTAGCAATTTTATTTTTTTCGGAGTTATTACGGTATCATTGACTAACAATATATTTAATTCTGCTGTTATACGTGGTGTTACTAAATTACCTTTTTCGGTAGTTATTGGAAAAGGTGGCCATTCTGGTATAATTTTTAATTTTGCCAGTATGAATTTCTGATAATCCGTAATTTTAGCTGATATTGTGAGTGTACCCATGTGCTTTTTTGGAATAACTGTTTGATAATGAGTCATTGGCAAAATAACATTATAATCAACAAAAGTTTGCTCGAGAATACCCGTTGATACTTGAAATGATCCAATACCAGATGGTTTCAATGTCCATTCTATATTTAAACTTGTAATATTATCAAAACGTTTACCATCTTCATCCTTCACTACAACTACAAGTCGTAGAGGTTGATTTGCATGTGCCATTATTCTCTCAGCATTATTGCCAATAGGACAATTTTTACTATCCTTAAATTCTGGTTGAAGATAGATGTATCTCGGTTTACTACAAATTATTTGTACGATTGCAGTAGCACCAGTACTATAACAATTAGGAAAAAATGGTTTATTAAATACTTTGTACGTTAATGTAGCTTGACCCAAAGCACGACAAGTGACTTTGAATATTGAAACACCAACTGTATCATCTAGTTCATTAACTTGAATTATTTCTTCATCCGACAATGCAATTTCTCTTGCAAAACTATTTGGTTTTCCAGTCCATGGATGCGGTCCACCTTTAAAAATAATATTCCTCGAAGATCCGACAGCAAGAAGAGTTTCAGCACTTGATGGATGGATTGACGTTAATGGCTCATAAGCTGATACAGTAACATTGTCCATTAGATATTGTCCATTAGCACGATAAGCTACTGTAATACTTGAGGATCCAATATCTGTTCCTATTACCGTTAAAGTTGTACACGAAATACCTATTGGCTGAACCGATTCACTGGTTGAGTTCCGCACAAAGTTATTGTCAGAAATATATATTTCAAACAAAGTATCACGACAATCGGTAAATGGCATTTCTTTTGCTTCCGGTGTATTATTTAACTTACCATACAGTGCCACGTATAGATGAATCGGTTCACCTGTAGCTGCGTCCATACTATATTGAATTATTTCTAATCGTGTTGGTAACATAACGTAAACTTTTGCTCGGTCATTATTGAACTGATTGCGGGCCATTGATACAATAACATCAGTAGTACCTTGATTTAAGATTCTTACAACTCCATTTTGGCTTACAGTAGCTATTGATGGCTGTCTGGAGTTCCATACATATGTACCATCACCTCCACTTGCTTTTAGAGGTACATCCAATCTAATTAATAGAAAAATTTAATGACATTATTAACGATTAATTATTATTTTCTTATTAATTATAACTTACCGCGATTTACTCTTAGGATCCCAAGGCACTGCTAATATTTTTGGATTAATAATGACTGGTGTATGAATAATCAAATCAGCTTTAGCAACCAGTGGAGTTGGTAATGGAATTTTTTTACCATTTTTATCAATTACACCATGCAATTTAGCTTCAACAGTTGTTGTACCACAAGAAATAGGAACTCCAACAACATAAGTTCCATTTTTACTTGTGAATTTAGTATGAAAATATTTTGAATCTATCGTAATCATAACTTCTACACCATCTCCGATATAAAACTTATGATCTTTACTGTAAATAAAACAATAAAAATTATTTATAGCAAACAAAAAAATATTTTTTATGTATACAAGTAAAATATGTTCCAGATTTTTACTTACGTATCAAACAATTCAACGATAATTTCATGTGTTTCACCCAATATTAATCCACGATTTCTATTAGGTAACACGGTGATTGTAATGTAGTCAACAGAATTAACATTAACAGTAGCCGTCGGTAGGACAATACCATAATCTTCGTTAACATTTTTATCATGAAGTGAAACCTTAGTTTTACCATTTGATAATGCGTATGCTTTACCACTATCATTATCTATATCTAAAGTATCAGGGTGTTCAGCCTCTAAATAATATTGACTAAATGGCAAATTTATTTTTTCTAGTCGTCCCTGGTGTACTTGCATTATTTTGTATTTAATACTGTCAAAAGCCATTACTGTAACATCAGTGGGTATTATTATAAGATTAGCAACAACAATTAATTCAACTTCAACAGACGGCACATCTTTGTACTCAATATGAGGTAATTTAGCTGCAACTTTAGCTGTACCAGTTTTAACACCTTCCAATAAAACAATGCTTCCTGTTTTTCCAGTACCATCAAGCATTGCAATTGAAGAAGGTGTCTCGTATGGCGACTCTTGAAAGGTTATAAATCTCAATACACTATTAGCAGTATCTAGACTTGAACTTTTGTCACCATTTCCAATAGTCCATATGAATTCAACCCCAGTTAAGGTTGTAAATTCATTTCCTTGATCATCATTAGCTCTCACTTCAAATGCCTCGGGAGCTTCTTCAATAAATAATTCTCTTGTCGTTGATACTAAGCTTAAAGAATATATAACATCAACAATTACATCACAACGTAAAAATTGACCAGTATTTATATCTTCAGCAAGTACTATCGCTGTATTGCGGGTTAAATCTCTTGTAACACTTTGTACAATAACCGCCGATGAACATGTGTGGTCTGGATTTTCATTTATAGGAATTAAATGAATTATGTCTAAGCGTGACGTAGACCTAATTGACAATAATAATAACAATATATTAGATTGATAAGTTAGTTATAGTAGCATTAAAAAATAATATAGTACAATTAAAAATAATAATTACCATTGGTAACAACCTCCTTCGGTTACTTCCAACGTAAAATTGACTGGAAAATCGTTGAATATTGGTAATAAAACTCTTGGTACATTAAGTCGTGATGCCGATGCAATATTCCATGTTGATTGTGTTATGGCACATATTATAAATATTACTATTTTTAATAAAAATTTCAATCCCGCCATAATTTTTCACTACATGTGTTTGCAATAACTTGGCGGCTGTTGGCGGCCTTCGATAAAACCACAAACTATAAAATGACACGGTGTAATTAACCTTAAATATTTTTCACAGATAGAAACAAGAGCGCAGTCTTTTGTCATAATTTTGTACTTACTGAATTTAAGTTGGTAAAGAAAATTAGTTCAAGTGATAAGTAAGTAATTCTTTTTGGGCACCAATATTTTAATAATATAATTAAAAAATTGAAAACATTATCGTGTGTAATAAAATTAAAAAATTTATAAGTTAATTGAATTATGTACACAATAGAATCTATTCTTTTCTTTCAATAGCTTAATTTAAATAAAAATATAAATATAGTATTTATAAACTTGGTATATAAAAATAAAATTCGAATATTAATTAACAATAAAAAAGGTGCGTGATTAGAAATTTTTATATTTTCGGTAGGATACCCAAAATTATTTCTGTTAGTATATGTGCAGTAAATGAAAAATTTTCATCAATGTATGTATAATTTGTTAAAAATGCGGATTTTTTTATTTTTATTTAAGATTTTTATACTTGTATCGTTTTAAAAACGTGTTTATAATTATATGTGGAGTTATGACAAGTTAAAAAATTTAGCTATCGATTATATTATGACATTGAAGTTAGCAGACGTCTAAAAATTTTTTTTATTAATTAAATTACAACTAAAAAGATATTTTTAAAAAATTTCACTAATACCTTTTTAAGTTTTTTACATATGACATTTTTTTTTTTAATTTTTCAATGGAAATCTTTTCAATAAAAAATTTCTAAAAATTTTGAAATGTCGGCTAACTTTATTTTCATATTATATTAGATTATTCTTACTAATAATAATAATAATTATTATTATTATTATTTTGATCATTAATATTTAGTGACAAAAATGTATTTTTTAAATAAAAATTTTTTTTTAATATCATAATTATTCCTTCTCTTAACGCACTATATCTACTGAGTAAAATGTATAAAGATGAAATTGAATATCTCAATACAATTATGAATACACTCATATTTTAACAATATAAATAATGAAAATGGAATTAGCCGATATTTTACAATTTTTATGATTTTTTTTATTAAAAACATTATTACAAAAGAAATTCAAAGAAACTTTACATTTAGAAGATTTGAAAAACTATAAACGCAACTTTGTTTTTAGTTTTTATTCTTAATTTTAATTCAATTAAAAGAAAAGAAATTGTTAAATCTTATCTGCTGATTTCAGTATCATTATAAATACATATGTGATATATATCATACATGACAGGAAATCAACTAACAACAATGTCTTCATGTTTCATCATTTATTTTTTTCATTAGAATTCATATCATTATCAAGGGGAAGGTTACAACAAACTAAACTGGCTGTCTTTCGAGGGTTTTTCGAGGTCAAGGTGATTGCAACATCTCAGATAAATACGGTACGGTAAATAGTAAGCTAACTCCAACATAAAAAAATTGGCATGTTACATAGTTGAAGCAACAGCCAAAAAAAACTCAGCTCATAACAATCAGTAGCACTGTCAGAAAAAATAATCGTGAAATATATTAAACTGCAAAAAAAAAAAAACTGTGGTTCATAGTTGTGTTTTGTAAAATACATCTGTAGATTAAAAATTTCATATATAAAAAATAAACTATTTATTTTCAGCTTTGAATTTAATTGGAGACTTATTTTCTAACTTATATATATATATATATATATATATATATTACTGAATTTAGTAAAATTGCAGTTTTACCAGCTTATTAATTATTTACATTAAAGATAAAAATAGTAAACTCTTTAAAATTCTAGTTTACAGTATAAATCTTTGCACTAAGAAAAAAAAATTATTTTCTTCAAAATTTTATTCTTGTATTTTTAGTAATCAATTAAGAAATTTGCTCTTGAATCAATAAATTATAATTCTTGGATGAAAAGAAAAAAATTCTTTAAGAATTTCACCCTTCAGCGAAGCACTACATTGTTTCTCAACAAAATACATATTTATTTTTTCGGATAAGATTTTTCTTTTCGATTAAGGTAAACAATAACATTAATTGTAAAAATTGTCGTAATTTTTTTTTTGGTCGAAGCAAAAATTTCTTTTCTTTCAATGGATCGTATTTTTTTTGGCTCAAGTTGATAAAATTTTGATCGAAGAAACTATTACTTAAAACAAAAATATAAATATTTTAAAAGAAAAATTATTATCACTCAAAGAGATTTTAATTAAAGAATTTACAAATAATTAGTATAACTCCTGAAGAAAGTCAACTGTTTATCTTAGAAATAATTTTCATGGTTTAAAATGATTTTTCTTGAATCAGGTTTGTTGTTTATATCAGTATAGACGTAGATACTCGATCAGTTTCAACTCATAGAATTTAATATAAATTTTTTATTCATAATTATTATTAATTATCGTTATTTAGAGTTGATGATCTTCACGTACATTTTACAATATAACAATTATCATTGTAAGTATCGGCATCATGTACATAATTAGATTCCAATAAAATCTTAAAAGATAACATTTCCCGACTACGATAATCCAAATTTTCACACATTAAATTTAAGAGATCACACAACGATTGTAAGGTGTGAGAATTGTCATTCCATGTGTTACTTTTAGAAGATTGTTGCATAGTCGTTAGAGCTTTTTTATCGTTCTTTTGTATTAATTCTTTTATTTTTAATTCAATCTCACTTAAGCTACGTTTATTCTAAAAAAAAAGAAAATCATTTAATTATTGGACTTATTCTAAATGATCGATATCAAAGTCAATTATACTTACAACCAAAGTCGGAAAAATAGATGCCGGGTTCCAATCGTAGCGACAAGCTATACACTCACACCAGAAATTATAATCATCTTTTAGTTGTTCTCTTCGCTGAAGTGTGGGTGTTTCATCAAAGCTTGATCCGTAAGATATAAACAGTTGAGCACCCTTTTTTATCTGTTGAGAGGCTCGAAATGTCATTGTATTTCCATAATGTGCAGGGCATACGTTGCTAAAACAACTGTGGTTGAAAAAACTTGCAAAAGATCCAAGTAAGTCACCTCTTTTCATATCAATAAATGGCGTAGATAACTAGAAGTAAAATTTAAAATTAAAGCTATCATTAATTTTAGATAAATAAATCATATTATAAGAAATTTTAAATCTATATTAGCTTGAATACCAAACAGACTCAAATTGTTTTTAAAAAACATTCTTTTTGCGTACAGAGAAGCAGTTCAATGAGCTAATTCGTATGTTCCTTAAGATCAATGCTCCTAGAAAAAGAGCCCATTCATTGTTTGCACAATCTCGTATGTCATTGATTCCATCACCTAAAAGATTGGATGATAAAGCAAAAGCGTGAAGAATATATGCACTACTTATAGAAAGTCCGTCAACTTCTGATTTTTCTCTAAATGAAACATCATGTACCAGAGAATATACTGTTGAATATTTTGAACTATCATGTACATTGTCAGTGAAAAATTTTTCGGTCGGATCTGGAAAAAATTCACAATATTAGATGATTATCTGAAAAGAAAAAAAAAAATTTTATTCAAAAAATTACATACCTGGGATTTTGTCAATATTAAGAAGATAAGTTTTTAAATTTTGCAAAGAACCAGCTTCCTTGATTGCTTTGATTGTTATCCTTGCAGCCATTAAATCAAGCCATTCGCGCTGGCCCATTGCAAGTAAATAGGAAATTACGTCACACTCCATATCATGATACTCGACCCAAGCTTTATCTCGACAACTTTCATCGCAATAAATTACGTTTACACAATTATTACATCCTACAGAGGACCAAGTTCGTTTTGAACAATACCAGCAGTAAGTGTACCAACATTCAGAAGAAAGAATAAGAGAATAAGCTTTTTGTACGAAAATAACTTCACCAACTTTTATGTCTTTAGTAGCTACAATGTGACGCCCAAAATTTTCTGAAAATTTAAGCTCTATAGAACTGGAAGCTCCTACTACTCGAGGATTATCTTTTGGAGTTAGAGGTATTAATTTACCCAAATCGTGCTGTATGAAATTCGCTTTCAAAGCATAATTCTTCAATATTAAGTTCAAAGATGTTTCTAAGTTTTGTCGAGTTTCTTCATCTGCCTCTGTCAACCAACATTGAGCTTTGGTTATAGCTTTTTCTATTTCTGGACACATTCTCGGATTAAGGCCCCATAGAGCTTTGGCTTTACGCGTATAAAAGTCTGCTTTCATTTCATTGCAACAGCCAATTTTCGATATTCTTTCTATATCTTTTAAACAATCTTCATAGTAGCCTTGATTTAATAATAATTCCGAACGTTCAGTATATGCTCTGACTAGTTCATATGATTCAAGAGGTGCATGGGCAATTGCTCTGGAGTACAGTTCTAATTGAACTTGAAGTGATGCAGTACTTCTGATACGATTTACCCTATTCAATGCTCTAAACGCTCCTTTTCCACTTTTTTCCTCTCTTTCTTTACCTTTCAAATTATTAGTAACTACCATAGAGCTCAACACGTATGCCATAGTCTCTTCTTCATTTTGGAAGTCTTCTTCACTGGTATCCACGGAAATTTTAACGATAGATGACCTTCTGTCTTTAACGACAGATTTTTTCACTTTAGCCATACCTTTAAAAATTTTATATTAATTAATTAGTTTATTTTCGTATCTCATTAATTTAATCATCTATTTCAAATGACAAAATTATAACAATATTAATTTTAAAATTTTTGATTTTGAATAGTATATAGGTTCCCGAGTCGAAAAAATGAACTTATATAAGTTTACATCAACTGTTTTATATACCGAGTAAGTTCACACTGAAAGAAAAAATTTCTTTTAAAAAAATGGGCATTGTTATGACAAGAAATTAATTTTAAAAAAATTTTCAACATTTTCATTTATTAGCTGAAGAAATAAAAATTTTTCTCACAGAAACTTTCTTGTTGAAAAAAAGTTTTTTTGACTTTTTTTATTTTATTTATTTTACTTCTGATATACGTTCTATAGAAGTGCATGACACCTGTGCATAGACACCAGTAAAATACAATAATATTTTATTATATGTACATCGAGTTAAGAAATTCATTACAGCTAATGCAATGTACAAAGTATAAGTTTTCTTACGACTAATTATACAATATATTTTGCTATCTAATATAGTATCTTAATTTATAATTCAATAGATCTAATCCATCTCCCAAAATTCTTGCTTAATAAGTTCTTTTTGCATTCAAGAGCTTTTAGATTATTATTGTTGGGAAGTAGATTGAAATATTTTATTGCCACAAAAAACGCATTTTTGGTACTTAAAGTTTTATTAATTTTTGGTAAAGTTATCTGTCTATTACGTGTATTTATATACCTCTCAGAGTGCATTAATTTATAATCTGTAAAATAATAAGTAAGCGCATTCACAACAAAAAACTGGTTGATTTCTAAAGGTACTAACATTTCATTTTCTATTTTCATTTTACTTATCAATTTATTCTGTAAATTTACAATAGGTTTATCGTATTATCATATACACCATCCCAAGCAATGATTCCATAGTTTATAACACTTTCGAAAAGACCATGATATATTGTTTTCATTATAGATGGTTGTAGACAATTACTTAATTTATAGAATAAAAAAGTGAAATACTTGACTTTTTTAATCAGCTCAGTTACATGCTTGTTCCATTTCATATGACAGTCATACACGTTACCCCTAAATATTTACAGTTTTCTATCTTTAATAAACAAATGAAAATTAGTGGGAGCACTATCAATGTAGCTTCCGAAAGTAATGTATGTAGACTTATCAACATTAAGCGTAAGCTGATTGCCTTTTAACCACATATCTTTCTTGCCAACTAATACTTCCACTGCACAGGACTGCAGTATCATTTGCATAAGAAACTATAGTGCATTCGTTGGTACAATATTAAATATATTATCAATATACAAAATGAAAAGAAGTGGTCCCAAAATAGTCCCTTGAGGAACCCCAATTTTCACAGATCTAAAATCACTAATAGTACAATTATTTATTTTAACACACTGCTCTCTATTCGATAAATAATTATCAATCAATTTATGAGGAAGACCTTTTATTCCCTTACGCCACAGTTTATTTAGAAGAATTTTATGGTTCACTGTGTCAAAAGTTTTGGCAAGATCCAAGAAAACTAACACGGTAGCTAGGTTTTTATCCAAATTATTGTAAATAAAGTTAGAGGTAAATATCTGTACCTCTATTTTTCATGAAACGATATTGATTGTTTGCGATAAAGTTATTACAAATAAAAAAATCATTTAATCTTATATATATGATTTTTTCAAAGATTTTAGCCAAGTTAGATATCAAAAAAGAGATAGGTCTGTAATTGGTAGTCAGATGGGCATTACCAGACTTGTAAATTGGAATAATATCAGCTTTCTTCATCAAAGCAGTGGGCCAGATGGCTCTGCTTATGCAGTTATTAAAGATATATTCTAAAGGCAGACTAATATCTTTGGCTATACATTTTAGTATCTTGCTATGAATATTATCAACGCCACCAGCTTTGTCTTTCATTTCATGGATAACTTTTGCTTTTTCAAATTTATTAGTAGGTAATAAAAATATACTATTACAATTATATTCAACAGTTTTTTCAAAATTAATTTTATCATTGTTACCTAGAGCCTTAGCCTACTCGCAAGATTTTCACCAACATTAAGGTAAAAGTCCCTATTATGAGACGATGTCCCCATTTATGATACACTACATAAAAATACTATTTTATAAAAAAAAACACACCGCTAGCATACCAAAAGTATAATAAATATATTATTTCATCTATTCCAAAAGCAATTTTCGACTTTGGTTGTTAATTGATTCCATACTGTTTTTTAAAAATATTTATTAAAGTGCGAGGTTTGTTATCTGTGCTCAAAGCCACGACCGAGAATAGTAAAACGACAACGGCTACCTAGTTTTTTATATTAGTGTAATTTCATTGTGTCTTCTACTTTTATATTAAATTGTATATCAATTGAAAGCTGATGAGTAATAAACTTTATTTCTATACACATTTATGCGTTTTTTTTATTACAATATTTTAAATATGAGTGTCTCACAATACCTACACTTATTTACGTGAATGCCCCGGTTTATGAGACACTTTTCTCGGTGTATAGTGTAATACGGACATATGTTTTTCGGCTTCTCCCGATTAAGTGAGACAGTGTACATTTATAAGATTTTATATTGCTAATATGTGATATTAATTATAAAAATAGTATAATTATATGTTATAAAATATTGGCTACTATTAAACCTCAAATATTTTTCTAAAAGTAAGTATTTTAAGTCAAATAGTTTTAGATCATGAGCCTAACCTCAAATCATAACATAGAATAACTTTGTCAACAAGTTTTTCTGTTTTTTAATTAAATCTTTTGGATAAATTTATAATATTTTTTTGTATATTGATTCTGAAAATATATTATTTATTTCTTATTATTTCAGAGTAAGTAAAAAGTAAATTATAAAAAAAAGCTGAGATAATGAAGCATAAACAAAATTCCAAAGTGACAAAAACTCAATCATCAAATTCAACCAAAAAAAAAAAAAGTGTTGTGTTCCAATATGAATAATAAAATGAAGGAAAAAAAAATTAAAAGGATTAAGTAATTATAATTCGTGAAATATAAAAAAAGCTCTAAAAGCAATGGAAGACACAGAGTTGTCCTTGAGAAAAGCAGCTGCTGTTTATGGAGTACCGATTGTTACCCTTGCTAAATGAAAAAGTATTAGTCCTAAGAAGGCAAAAATTAGAACTGGGCCAGTGACAGTGTTATCTTTAAAAGAAGAGGATGTTATTGTTCAGTGGGTGTTGTACAGAGCAGTAATAGGGTCACATGTGACAAAAACTGAATTATTGAAGACGTATAACAATCCGTTACTGTCTTAGACAATCATTTTAATGTGATAAACTGTGAACAAAATAATTTAATTAATGATGAACAATTTTTTACGGTTACATATGAATCTAATCAAGTTAGTCTTCAAGAATCATCAATTGATAGCAATAACGTAATACAGTGCACTTCTAAAGACTTCAGTGAAGACAAACTAATTGATCAAACTATCTCTACTGATGATACATATTTATATCTGCAAAACCCAGAGAGATTATAACAGAGCTCACAAATATTAATTCTACAAATCTTATAAACAACAAAGTTCATCAATTAGGTATGTAAATGTCAACCTCACATTCATGTTCAATAAATTTAACTTAATGTGACTTTTTTTCAGAACTTATAAAAAAAAATTTAGATCCAGAAAAAACATGAAAGAAGAAAAATTTAACAATAAAAAAATATTACAAGAAGAAAAAAAAATTAATGGCTCAAATCAAGGAATGACAAAAAAAATCAAGAAAGAACAATAGATTTAATTCAATAATTTGCGTTGATTAATTGTTTAACTGATAAAAAATTTTTTATAAGTTAATTAAAAATAAAAGTAATTCCTTCTTTTGTAAATACGATTGTCTAAAATTGATAAATATATAAAATTTGATCAACTTTGCTGATTTTTTAACTGTCTCAAAAATAGGGTCCTGTGGTTCGAGACACTGGGACATGTGACTTTAAAGTGTCTCATAAATAGGGTCATGTAGCTTCCCCAAAAAAACCATAATTTAATTAATTTTTGACCAAAAAAACTATAAAAACAATATAAATATTGATTTAATGATCATCAAATTATCGTATAAATTTAACTTATTGTGACTTTTTTTCGGAACTTATATAAGAAAATTCAGATCCAGAAAAAACATGAAAGAAGAAAAGTTTAACAATAAAAAAATATTACAAGAAGAAAAAAAATTAATGGCTCAAGTCAAGGAATGACAAAAAAATCAAGAACGAACAATAGATTTAATTCAATAATTTGCGTTGATTAATTGTTTAACTGATAAAAAATTTTTTATAAGTTAATTAAAAATTAAAGTAATTCCTTCTTTTGTAAATACGATTGTCTAAAATTGATAAATATATAAAATTTGATCAACTTTGCTGATTTTTTAACTGTCTCAAAAATAGGGTCCTGTGGTTTGAGACACTGGGGACATGTGACTTTAAAGTGTCTCATAAATAGGGTCATGTAGGTTCCCCAAAAAAACCATAATTTAATTAATTTTTGACCAAAAAAACTATAAAAACAATATGAACATTGATTTAATGATCATCAAATTATCGTATAATGCGATTAAAAGTGTATTTTTTTCTTAAATGGATTAATTACTCGCAGGAATGTTCAACCTACCTTGAAAAGTGTCTCATAATAGGGACTTTTACCTTAGTAAAAAAGTCAACAAAATTATTTGGAGAATAACAATTTTAGACAGACAACTTTCAAATTTTCATCCAGAATTGATTTTCCCAAATGTAGAAAACTTTTTTTCAACAAGAAGCTTATTATGCGAAAAATTTTGATTTCTTCGGCTGAAAAATTTCAACAAATTAATTTCTTATTATATTTGCTCATTTTTTTCAAAATAAATTTTTTCTCTCAGTGCATATGTAAGTTCATTTTTTCGATTCGTGTTATTTCGAATTTTGAATACAGTTTGTCTAATTATTAAGCTCAGATTTAAGAAATAATATATACAGTTATCACTTATCATGTTTGTGCACAAACTATAAAATTTTAAAAACTAATTGCGTTGTGTATCTGAAAATATACTCACAACCCTTGGTATATTGAGACATTTAATGAAATTAACAAGCAGTTATTTACAATTATTTCGCAATATTTATTTAATAATAACAATGAAATCAAAACTATTTAGGTATAAATAAGAGACAAAATTAACCATGTGATAAAAGTTGCATTGAGTTTGAATAAGATGTATTTATCGAATATATTTTTAAACGAAGATTTTTTAATTATATACAAATAATTAACACACAAAAAATAATTCTCGACTTACTTGATTACCTCTTAAAAATAAGCTCCAAATCCAATCCCTTTGAAAATGATAAAACTACGATGAAGACTGTCTTAATAAATGTCAAATCTTCTTGAAGACATATGTATCAATAAAACATTTGTTCTATGACGTAGTCATATTATTTTTATTCGCGATTCAATGTCACTGTTAATATCTGTATATGTTATCAACTTCATTATTTTCTTCTGAATTATAAAGTTGATATAAAAATGTACTTGCAATGAACGAATAATTAATTTGAGAATATTATATCCGGAACTATGAATGTTTCTTTCGAATTTCTGTATTTCATCTTGTACAATAAGCCCGCTATAATTTATTTTTATTATGAGTATAATATACGTTTGCACATCGTCACACGCACGCGCTGTAACTTGTTTTAATTTAAAATTTAAACTTGACCATTCATAAATTATATCAAGAAGTGATTATCAGTTTGATAAAACAATTTTAACTTTTTTTTTAAAAATCCAAGAATAGAAATCCTCGAAAAGATTGGTCATAGAAGAAAATGATACAAATTTTTACATAGTGCTTTTTTTAAGTGAATATTTGATCTATACGATGAATAAACAACTTAATTACAAAATCTATGCAATCTAAAATATGCAAGGTCTGCATCACGTTAGGAGTTATCATCTTCTTTATTTTCACTGCTTGGATGATCAGGACAACATAATACTCTTTTACCAAAAAGTTATATTTTTGTAACTATAAATATTTATATTAATAGAATCAATAAATCTAGAGATCAGTATCGCAGTTTTTGGGTCCATTACACTTAATTATGAAACCCTCAATGTCGTAAGGTAGATAGAATTTCGCTGTAATGAGGTAATTTACTAGAAAGATTATCGCTGTTTAGTGTACATTGCTTTGCCAAAATACGTATGTAATGGTTGAGATCTTCTACCGACTCTTAACATTGACATTGACTGGACTCTTATATCTTTGATCGGCTTAAATTATCTGGTAATAGTGTGATTACTTTTTTCTATTAATAAATTTCCCTTTTTTTCTTTTTTCAGGGCTGTACTATACTGACTCATACGAGTAGATTTGATATCAGCGTATATTATTTGATGCGATATACGAAATAAGGCTCTTAGAGAGAGATTATGAGTTATCAGACCTATAAAAAACTCTTTCGTTTTATGATAACTAGAAAATGACTGGAAAATTGAAAACTTTCAAAAATTCGGAAAGTTTTGAGCTTCAGTCCAATTTTTAGAAGTCGAAATAAAATTTTATTGTATAATATCTCAAAGACCTATCAACCTATAAAAAAAAAAATTATATTTTTCCGTTTTCTTTTAATTACGTTAAATATTTTTAAATCATTAAACTTTCGATCGTGTGTTTATAATTTTTTAAATAAAAAATCTAATTCATATATTAATTGTTACATTTACCAAAAATTTGTAATTTTTACAAAAATGTTTTGTCAAAACCACATACGTGATTAAAATTACAAACAATTTTATAAACGATAAAAAGATATTTAGAGTATTTCGTAAATTTTTTTGTCATTTTTTTTACCTACACTGAAAAAAAAAAATTAACTTGATTCAAGATAAAAATTCTTGAACCATGAAAATAATTTTGAAGAGTTTCATTTTCTTGAATCAAGACGGAAAATTCTTGAATCTTTACGAAAAGTAAAATTTCCTTAAATCAAGAAAAAATTATCAGTTAAAGAATTTTTCTACTCAAATCAAGAAGATGAAGTTCTTCAAAATTATTTAGTTGATTCAAGTTAATTCTTTTTCTGTGTATATAAAACCATTAAAAGAGAAAACAAATTCTTTAAGTGTCATAATAATAAATTTGATTGGTGTAATATATGTGGTGCTTTTGGTATAAGTGCGCATGTATCGCTTTTGGTATAAGTGCGCATATAAAATATATACATCGAGTCTTATAATAATATATTTGAAAAGAGTCATAAAATATATTCGAAAAAACGTTTTTATGTGAAAATTTTTGCTATTGTTTATAATTTATTAATTTAATATTTTTTGAAACTGCCATAGACCGAATATTTTCATTGTCGTTAATTTTTTTCTATACTATTTTAATAAATAATTACATAAAAATTTTGTGGTAAGTATTGAAGGAAAACAATCAAATTTTGATAAGTGAAAATTCTTTCATATTTGACGCCAATTCCAGTGCGCACACAACGTACGCATTTGTACATTCTACGCTGTCTGCTAGTCTGCTCCAATATATAGTACTATTAGTATATACTTGTCATGGTCAGTTTTATCTCCAATTGTAGTACTGTCAAATTTAATGACTGTATATACCGTAAAAAAATCTGGAAAATGTTATGAGTTATAAGTAAATAGACAATTTTTAATTAATTAAAAAAATGTAAATTTAATAAATTATTAATTTATTAATTAACTTAATTTATTAATTGAAATCAAGACAATATGTAAAAATCAGCATTAATTGTTATGCTTATAGTGAGGTTATTATCAACAAGTACGCCTATGAAAAAATAATTATTATTTAGCTTTAATAATTACCGAATAAAATATAACAATGACTTCGATGTTTGATCAATATGAAAGAGCATCCCAAAGATCCAAGCCGTCTGGATCGGATCTTATGAAACCCGATATTGTAGGTTTTATATTTATTAAATTTTGTTTATTTTTAAGATAAATATTTATAATGATAAATTTAATTGCAGAGTACGGCTGGGTTTATCCAAATGAAATTACAAGATGAAGAACCCATTTTTACGAGACAAAGGGTTAACTTTAAACCACCTGATAATATTTTGCATTTAGCAGTTAGTAGTAATTTTATCATGATTGCTATGGCTAACAATATCATATTGAGAATAGATGTCAAATCTCCTGATAAAAAAGAAGAAATTGATATATCAAAATATGTTACGAATATGAAATTATCTGGATTATATCTAGATCCATTGGGTAATCATTTGCTTATTACTATTGTTTCTAAAAATGGTGACAGTCCTCCAGCGGATTTATTTTATTTACATAGAACTTCGACTAAGTTAAAGCAGGTATATAAATTGATAATATTTGTTAATTGCAGTTATTCACTAATCGAAATGTTTTTCAATTCACCTTAGTTTTTGTTTATTTTTTTTTTAAAGTTAATTAGACATTATTAGTAATGCTTAAAACTAATAGAATTCCATTTTTTTATTATAATCAACAATTTAATAATAAAATTTATTTAATACGTACATTATATTATAATTTTATTCTTAATTTAATTTAATCATTATTCCAAAAAGGCTGGAAAATTTCGAGGTCATGAAATAACAGCAGTAGCGTGGAATTTTGCTAATACATCTGCAACAACATCTGGTCCTATTTTATTGGGTACATCGAAAGGTTTAATTTTTGAAACTGAAATCGGTTTAGATGGGGATAAAATATTCAATACCAGCTTGGAACAGTACTGGAAACAGGTAAATTTTCTTAACGCTCTTTATTGATATTTAATTTTCATAATCGCCTGTAAATTAGTAATTCTATTACTATTAATTAAATTTATTTTTATGAGTAGAATCATTATTATATCGTCTGTTTTAAATAAGTTCTCTACGTAACATGATTGAACAAAAATTTTTAAGCCAATTGTAATTTAAATTTATCGTAGAGATTGATGTTGTTAATTAATTCTATTAAATTGATTTGATTTATATATCAAAGTCAAATAATTATTTGAATTAAATGACTTCATTAATAGATTTTAATTTATAGTTACAAAAGATAAATTTTTTTGTGTACTAAAATTTTTAATATTTTTAATTTATATTATTGTAAATAGTATCCTTATAATCTAAAAATTTCGAGGATAATTTACATCGTTCGTAGAACATTTTCATAGAAAAAAAATTTGTTATATCACATGAATATATGTACCAGAATTTTATCGTTATTACTTAATATTTTTTACTCCCCAAGCTTCCTAATTATTTGCCTCTTTATGCCAGTAAGGAAGTAGATGGATTGGTGAGTTAAATTTTTCCCTTGTAGAGTAAACATTTATCGTAGTATAACTATTATGTGTAATCATATTTATTATTAACGTTTATTATTATTATTATTATTATTATTATCTTATTAATATATAAGCATAAAATGATAATTGATAGGTGTTCGACATTGGTGAAGAAAGTAAACCCCCTATTACTGGTCTAGCATTTCATAAAGTACCGTATTCTGATAAATATATTATAATAGTGACAACTCTTATTAGAATTTATCAGTATATGGGTACAATATCAAATCCTCAAGAAAAACCACTTCTTCAACAAATATTTAGTAAATATCTTAATATTAAAGGTACTAATTAATTTTCTATGTTTTTTTTTTTATTGATTACTTTGTTGAAACAAAATTATAAATGTATTTTCTTTACAGAACGTTTCAATCAGTTAGAAAACTCATTGCCTTATTCGCGAATGCAGTTTTATTATCCAGGATCAAAAGGCATACCATCATCATTTGGTTGGCTAACAGAAACCGGAATTTTATATGCAGAAGTATAATTAAATAAACTTGCCTCAAATTACAAATTACTTATTTTGTGAATTCAATATTTTAATAAATCAATTTACTATGCAGATAGATCCTAAAAATGATCCAGATAATGTTTTAGTAAATCAAGAAATGATATGTTGTCCTGAAACTAGCTTAAGTGGAAGTACAGTTTCACGAACGTCAGTTGCACCGATTAACTTCGTTTTAACTAAATTTCATGCTTTGCTACTCTATAGCGATCATGTCAAAGGTATTTCGTTATTAAATCAAGAACTTATATTTGAAGATATTTATAATGACGTAAGTATTTATGATTATATAGTTTTTTTATGCATATACATAAATATATACGTATATTTTACATTTAGGCATTTGGGAAATTAGTCAATATTACTAAAGATCCCATAACTGGTTCGATTTGGGCCTATACTGAACGTGCTTTATTTAAATATAAAGTTACTAAAGAAGAAAGAAATGTATGGCAGATTTATATGGACAAAAGTGAATTCGGTCTCGCAAAGCAGTATTGTAAAGATAATCCAGCTCATGTTGATCAAGTACTTGTCAAAGAAGCTGAAATGTTATTTAAAAATAAAGAGTATGTACATATTCTCTATAAATTGTAATGTTTAAATAAATATAAATATAAACTATGTTAATGATAATTTTTTTAGATTTGAAAAAAGTGCAATGATTTATGCTGATACTCATTCCTCATTTGAAGCAATATCATTGAAATTTTTACAAGAATCACAAATTGAGGCATTGAAAACATTTTTAAAGAAGGTATGGGAATGATATTTTTTAGATAAAAAATTGATTTATTCAATTTAATTTCATTTTAGAAATTGGAAGGTTTAAGACCCCAAGATAAAACCCAAATAACAATGATTGTTGTGTGGCTAGTTGAATTATTTATGTATCAAATGGGAAAATTAAGGAGTAATTTAATATCTCACAACCATAATTCAAATCTAATAGAATTACAAAAACAATTTGACAGTTTTTTATGCACACCTACTGTTGAAGATTGTATTAAAAAAAATTTTAGTACTATTTATAAGTTAATGGCTAGTCACGGTGATAAAGATAATTTAATTCGTTTAACTATAATGCACAAGAATTACGAAGAAGTGATTCGTCAACATATTTATAAAAATAATTATTTAGAAGCTCTTGAAGTTCTAAAAAGTCAAGGGAATAAAAATCTTTTTTATCAATTTTCTGGAATATTAGTACAAGAGTTACCTAAACCAACAATCGCAGCTCTTATTTCTCAAGGTGTGCAATTACAGCCATCAAAAATTTTACCTGCATTAGTATCGTGTGACAGCGACGAGAGACATGTAAGGCTTAGTTATATCAATATTGAATTAATAGTAGGACATAATGAAATAATATTTCCATTTCAGGCGAAAGAAGTCATTAAATACTTGGAGTTTTGTGTATATAAGCAAAGTTGCCCAGATCAAGCAGTTCACAATTTCCTGTTGTCATTATATGCTAGATATAAACAGGATGAAGTGATGCGTTATATTGGATCACAAGGTAGAAATTTTTACTATAAAATTAAAGTAATCGAATTAATATAATATTTAATTGAATAATTCGTTAATGATAGGCCAAGATATAACTATGGTACATTATGATGTCCACTATGCACTACGTCTTTGTCAAGAAGCTGGTTTGACAGAAGCTTGCGTGCAACTGTCAGCTCTTCTTGGTTTATGGACTACAGCTGTTGATTTGGCATTGACTATTAACGTTGATTTAGCTAAGCAAGTTGCTGCAATGCCATCTCATCATGATAATGAATTGAAGAAAAAATTATGGTTAAAAATAGGTAAATTATTAAAGATAGCTTTATGTATACATTTTTTTAAATGAAAAGTTATATTTTCATTTTATTTTTAGCGGAACATGTTGTACGAGAACGAAATGATATCCAACAAGCAATGGAATTTCTTCAACAGTGTGATTTAGTTCGAATTGAAGATATTTTACCATTTTTCTCTGATTTTGTAACAATTGATCATTTTAAAGATGCAATTTGTAATTCTCTACAAGTAAGAATTTCAATTAATTATTTAAACACAGTTATTAATGCACTTTTTATCGTCAGAAATTATTGTTCGTTTTTAGTCACAGAATAATTATTATTCAACAAATTCTAATTTGGAACTCAAATTAATGTTTTGTTATAGGAATACAATCAACATATTCAAGATCTTAAAGAGGAAATGCAAGAAGCTACTAAATCTGCTGAAATAATTAGAAAAGATATCCAAGCATTTCGAACTAGGTACTTAGTGTTGCTTTTTTTAATCTTATAGAATTTATCAACTTACTTAAAAAGTATATTAGTTTCCGATACAGCACTAGAAATTTACAAAAAAAAGTATGTAACTTGTTATTTTTATTTCAGATGTACTTTTATACACGTGAGAGATACATGTAATTCATGTCAAGTTCAGTTATTATTGAGACCTTTTTATGTTTTTCCATGCGGTCATAGATTTCATAATGATTGTTTGATTTCCGTATTAACACCACTATTAACGACTGAGCAACAAATGAAATTGACAGATCTCCAACGTCAATTGACGATGTTGTCAAAGAAACCTGAAGATACTACATCAGTCGGGTCCGTATCATTATCGACAAAAGATCAGATAAAAGCTGATCTCGATGATCTTGTCGCTTCAGAATGTTTATATTGTGGAGACTTTATGATTGAGTATGTCTTATTATATTTACTTTTATTCAACCATAAATTATAAATTATAAAAAGAAAATTATCTATAAATTTATCAATTACAGATCGATTGATAAACCTTTCATTGAAGAAGAGAATTACGAGAGAGTAATGGCTGAATGGGTTTAAATTATTATAAATAATATATAAAATGTCTTTTTTTAATACAAATGAATAAATTTATATTGTTGTAAGTAGATAAATATTCATAATTAAATAAATTTATAATTTAAACAGAAAAATTTTTTATTTTTGATTAATAAAGTTATCTTCGGCTTTTTTATCGCGTTTACTCACCGAAGTATTATTATAAATATAATAACGTAAAGGTTTCATTGCCCACTCGGGCCCAGCACTGTCGATTCCAATTCTTGGACATTGAATTACTTCTGTTGTTTCTTCTGGTGAGTTATTATCATTTTCAATCCACATATTTTTCCAAGAACACAATGAATATTTACAACAATCTCTATTAATTTTAAACGACATACATAATTTTGATGGTCCATTGCATAACTCGTGTATTTTCAATATTTTTTTATTTTTTGATTTTAAGTTTGATGTACGATAACTCATCATTTCTTCAATGCCTTCTAGTGGTTCGATTCCTCTTAAAAGAACCGCAGCACCTTCACCTAAAAATAAATATTTGCTTTTTAAATAGTAAAGTTGTTTGAAAAGAAGGAAGTAGGCAATAATTGTAATAAGTTAGAAAAAAAAAAAAAAACTAAGCCAAGTCAAGAAGAAAAATCAAATCAAGCTAAGAAAAATAATAGGTGAATTATATAAAAGTGCATATTTTTAGAGAAAACAGTACGAATAATGGTTTAATTATTTGGTTGAGAAGTCATACTGAAGTCAATAGATATCTGACAACTTAAATGATTTTTCTAAGCAAACAAATTATTATCAAGAAGTTAAAATAAAAATTAAATACGGGAAAATTAAAGAAATTTATGAATGCTTTACTTCAATATCCCTTAGTACTAGTTTATTTATTAGATAAAATCGGAAAATAGACAGATGTCTGCTGATTTCAGTATCATATTAAATAACCTCACCTTGACTTGATATATTGAAACAGTGATACATTCCATAAGTTAAATAAACATAAATTGTTCCTGGAAGCATATACATTGGTAAATTTCGAGGTGTAACTTTATTTTGATAAGTTTGCGAAGCTTTATCAATTCCTCCAAGATAACTTTCTGTTTCAACAATTCTTCCTTTTAATATTTTTCCATTCTCTAACTTACGTACTAGTATTTTTCCTTAAATGTTTAAAAAGAAAATTTTCTATTAACTTTTGCATTCCAATTATAATCATGACAATAAATAAATACAAAAAGTCACCTAATAATTGTTGTGCCAATTGCTCACACGGAGTATTGTAAAAATTATATGTCAATCGGTTGGAAGATAGTAATTTCTCAGAGTCTGTTATTGGTGGATCTTCAAGTTGTTTACAATCTTTCAGAGCTTCTTCTAAGTTTGAGTTACTTCGAAGTTTTTTTTTTTTAAGTTCACTTTCATTTGATTTTATAGTTTTTAATTTACTTGTATGCTGAACTACAAAAATATTCTAAAATAAAAAAAAAAAAAATCCGATAAGCTGACAATATACTTACGATTGTGATCAAGATTTTCTAAATTTCGTTTTTTGGTTGATTTTTTTGTAGAACTGGATGACATTATTTTTATTGTTTTATTTTGGATTAGAAAAAGACTAAATTTCTTTTTAAATTGAAGAGACTACTATCATCGCAATCGAATCAAATTGACGTTTGAGATCTATAGAGCGAAAGTATTTTGCCTTGAGTTGATTATTTATTATTTTTACACAATCATTTTTCATATATCTTATATGTATTTTATTATCTAGTCGAACCATCATATTATTGAGCCTCAAAATTATGTGAAAACAACGGATGGTTGAATTGTGTGTACAATGTGCTTCTATATAAAGGGAAATACTACTACTATATACTACGACTACTGTGAGTGAAAGTTGTAAAAAATCTAAACTGAAGCATAACCTATAATATTTAGTTAATTATAACAATCAACTAATCAGTTGTTGTTCTCAAAATAATTAAAGTAATGGCTAATATTTATCTGTCAACACAGTGGTAAAAATTCCCATAATAAAATTGAGATGAAATGTATGTGAAACCAATCTATTCGTGATGTGATTGGTTGAAAATATTTATTCTCATTCTAATTGGTTGAAATTGAATATAATATACATAAACGATACATAAATATATCATGACAATAAATATGACGCGCGCGCTTGCGCGCGAAAATTAAATTCTAGTCCTAATATAAAATTGAGATGAAATGCATGTGGCATCAAACTATTCGTAACGTGATTGGTCAAATATATCATAAACATGAAAATATAGATAACTCCATACCAACATTCACACGCGCGCTTGCGCGCGCAACGTATACTAGTCCACTCTTATAATTTAGATGAAAAATATGAAAATATATCATGTAAGCAAACTATTCGT